TTTAATTATTATTATTACTGATTTGGTGGGTGAGGGGTTTCTTTCTAATTTTATGTGAAATTTTTTTAAGGAAGACCATAGAATTTAATTCATTTTGGTAACATTGATAAACAATCATAAATACGAAAGTTTGGTTTTATAATTTCATTTTATGAAATATTCATTTTCGAATAAGTATTTTTGTTACAGTGTCATCTCTTCTTTTGATAATGTTCGAAACAAGAATCCATCAGATTTTTGTATGAGAAGATGGATCATTAACTTTTTATTCTTGTGATGGATGAAAATCAAGAACGTTGCTATTTGGTTTATTAACTTTTCCAAGTTGATTAGCTCTTCAATATGTTGTACTCTATGCTTCTCCTGATAGAATACATGGTTTCTATTAGGTAAAACATTAACACAAGGGGACTCAAAGTCAAACAGCATAAAAAATATCTCATGTATATTCCCATCTTACATGTAGTAGACCAGAGTGTTTTACAGGCAATAAATGGAGGTTTGTCACCTGATGAAATGTAAGAGTTTGGTCACCCATAATCCAAATATGTAGAGAACTGGGTGGTTAGAGAATTTAGTCTTTGGTTGGCTTGGAGGACCATGATATAATTGTGGTTTAAAGTTTTCATCACAAATAGTCCCCATTCTTCAGGGGTTTCAATTAAATACAATGTAAACACTTCAATCTTACTCTGCTAGTCAATAGGTTTGAAGAACTGAATTCATTGTGTAGACTTTTCGATCATTCATAAACACACTTGTAAATCTTCGATGATGTATCATTAGTCAATCATCTGTTAGTTCTACGTAGTTGAGTTGTTTGCTTTGCTTTTTTGTTAAATTATCGTAAACCTTTCACTCTATATTAAAATATCGATCGGACCAATCGAAGATGGTAGATTTGAAGCATTGTAATTCATTGTCAAAAACAGAGATGACATAGGTCTGACCAACCAAATATTTTAACTGACTATGTGTATCCCATTCATTTAGTCCTTTTTATTAATTTGCTAAACTGCCAATAAAATGCATTGAGTAAAATAATAAGCATTGATCTCATTTCTCTACGTTTTTATCAGAAGACTAAACACTAAACTGAACATGACATGTCTCTCATATAAACTGATTACTTTGCATGAAATAGCATATCCATTTTTTAGTAAACTCAACAAAAACTAATGTATTGTGTTGTCCAGATCTATATCATTTTTCGTCTGTTGTTTCTTGACAAAGGTTTAACAAAAACTATCGCACTACTGAAATAACATTAAGTTCATCGACGTCATATCTACTATATCAAAATTTAATATGCTTATTATCCTAGATTAATATGGAGTATTTTCACAATTGCAAACATTCATACTTCAACCCGCACTCAAAAATGTGTCATTTAGCTGTGAAGTGACAGATCCTAACAATGAGCTGTTCACAGTGTAATTGCTATTCTACTGGTATAGAATAATCAGGCGGCTTATTAACAGTTGATTTGAACTGTTTACTTTTCTATTAAATATTTAGCATTAACAATTATTTTTACTAAGTTCCAAATCTCTTAATAATCGTCAAACACATTTGAAAGTATATATAATCAAACATTAATGGGTTATAACTTCTTTAAAATCTATAGTCATTAATTCACAAGACAACGGAAAGAATACACAAAAAAATGCGAATGAACAAAGTCTTACATTAAGTTTAGTTGGAGTTGATTGATAACTTAAAACCAAAACAAAATAGAAAACACGAAGTTCTGTTTGTCAACCGAGTTGTTTTAGTTGAGATCTCAAATCGGTCTAATTTAGAAAACCATTGAAAATCCGAAAGGAAAGGATTGGGACTTCATCTTCAACACTGCGGATCTACCACCTCGCAAACAGAAACACAATTATTTCAATCAGTTTATTTCAGCGTAATTACAAAGTCTTTGTCTAATATTTTGAAGAAATTGAATGTCATTAAAACGATAAATAATTAATTAAAATTAACCATTTAATCTCACACAATTATTCCAACGTTAACACTTCATTTCAGTCATATAAAAATGCGTTATCTCTAAATGTTTATTAGTATAGGGGTTGTGGAGATTATTGAGTTTTTGATTGAGATCATGAAACGATTGATCTTAGGCCACCGTTGAAAACTCAGAAGCACTGGACAGCCCTCTCGTCCTATTGTGAGAATCATCAGCAATGCACATCCACGATCCCGCTCGCGGGATTAGAACACAGGCTCTTCAGTCTCACGCGCGAACTCTTAACCTACCGGATCATTGAGCCGGCACTTTAAACACTATCATGAACTTACTGTCCAAATTTTAAAGAATATGGTAGTTCAGAATAATACTCATAAACTATTTTGTTGATTATAATTCCGAAAGAATCGTCCTAATATTCTGGTGATAAATTTTTTTTTACATGATAAATGTTTTCCAAATCTTCTGGTTCTTTTCGTGTGTTATGTTATGCTATTTATTAATATTCAGTAGTTTGAGTTAAGCTGAAAATTTTTATTGGCTGTAAGTTGCTTCATATGATCTTTCTTTGTCTTAACTAGACAATTATCGCGTCTGTCAATACAATTATTTTGGTGTTTTAGATTGCTCTAATACTTTGATCACCTTTTCTGTCTTGCATGTGCTATTCTTTGAAACCTTTTTTTTATTTTTACCGGTATTTTTGAAATAGAGAGCTTAACCTACATTTTTTTAACGGTGTGAATGATTTTCCGTTGAGTATCTGATTAACACTAGTGTCCTCATAAAAACTTTTCGACTAAAAGCTCAGCACACGAATATGTACTTCGTAAATGAGTTAAAGTTAAAACACATTTCAAGAATAGTGAATTATTAGGCTTGAAAAAAAAAGAAGCACCTGAACCGTATGGTAGAAACGATTGAATAATAACATTTCACTTTATGTGATTCACAATTATTTTCCCTTCAATTACTTTGGATGGATAAAGATTTTATTGAATATTACGCAGTCCATAGGAAGACTTTAAATCGTTGAAATCAAACCATATACTTAAATATCCCAAAATTTATACCAATGGTATTTGAATGTAAGAACAGATGGTTAATGTATGTAAACTGACTAACAGATAATTAAGTCTTATTAGATATTTCCACAGTTTTATTTCATTTATTCTTTCATATATACGTGATTTTAGACATTATATCACTAAAAATATGTAACTTTAACTAACGGTTTCATTGTCCAGTTAGACTGAAACATTGAATTCAAATGCTTTACTTTCAATGTGAAAACTGTCAAATTACCCATCATATGGAAGTGAATTATGTGAATTTCCCGATAGCAAACTACTTCAAACTTTAAGAAATTTAAATATTTCACTTCAATATCAATCATTTGTTTGATGAATATTTCATTAATATCAGAAGGGGTTTTGTGTAAACTATAGTAATTTCAGTGGTTGAGATCATGAGTCAGTTGAAGCTAGAGTGAACTGTATGCTCTAGAGTAGATCAAGCAGATTGACAAAAATGTGTCTGTATGGTAGGATCTAGGATTGAAATGAGGATATTCAAATAAAGAATCAACTTTGGTATTTTGGAATTTCATGTATTCATTATGAATTATTCTAGTTTTGGATATTTAATATTGTAAAGATTTGCGATCCTAATGCATATTAGCAAAAATTAAACACTTTATGATAATAACAGTATCTTTAGGGTTTTTGTGGACATTGTAGTAATTTCAATAGTTGAAATTATGAATCAATTGAAGCTAGACCACCATGGAAAACCTGGAAGCACTGGACAGCCGTCTCGTTCTATTGTGGGGCCCCTCAGAAGTGCGCAACCACGATCACGCCCCTGCAAGTCTCGAACCCAGGACCTATCGGTCACGCGCGCGAGCGCTCAACCAATAAACCACTGAGCCGGCTTCGCCTGACTCATGATCTCAACTATTGAAGTTACTATCATATCCACAAAACCCATCTGATATTAATCAGCATATGCTCACTAATGACTGACTTCAAGAGGTATATCCTGGAGTTCTAGTGAGAAGCAGTGTTCAGTGGAGTTCAACCAGGTCTGATGTGAGATAATAACTCACTGAAGACAATGATGGATGTGTCGATCAATTTGGTGGATTAGTTGAAATTAGACATTAACACCGTTGGATACCGGTCAGCTCGGTGGTCTAGTGGTTAAGTGCTCGCGTGCAAAACCAGTAGGTCCTGGGTTCGAATCTCGCGTGAATCGCGGATTCGCACCTACTGTTGGGGAGTCCCACAATAGGACGAGGCGGCCGTCCAGTGCTTCTAGGTCCTCCATGGTGGTCTAGCTTCAAATGATTCATGATCTCAACCATTGGATATTTCATTTTCCTTCAATTTCATCTTATGTTACTTAATATTTCATCTGTGGCTTTATTTCCTAATTGATAGATAGAATAGGTCTGTTTCGGAACAATTATTCGTTCAATTTCAACTGATTGTTAAACTAATGAAAACGTTTTAATATATTTACCAAATCATACATAGAACATGTTTTATTCACTGGAGCTAATTTTGTTTGTTTTAGAGAATGATTTTGACGTTACACCTATAGGAATCAGTTCTCATGATTACCTGAAGATGATTTATGTTTATTGAACTACCTAAATACCCACTATTGATACACTGGTTGATACTAACGAAATTGAGATGTAGTAATAACTATGAAATACAATTTACTTTTTATAATAAACAAATATCATCAATTTCTTATAAAAATAAACTGGAATATAGTTAGCAACGGAATCGACGACATATATTTCATCTAGTATGGGATTTATCAGCCAGGATTTACGTGCATCTCAATGTTTATGTTTACGTTTGAACTCAAACACAATACCTTTTGCTTCACAATAGCCATTGTGTTATTCATGGAGACATTCATTTTAGACAATCATTAGCCTATGTAACGAGTATGAATTTTTATTCCATTTTGTCCTGGTTTTAATTATTATTATTATTATTATTATTATTATTATTATTATTATTATTATTATTACTGAGAAAATCCTCACAGGATATACATATGCCAACTACGACTAGTCAAAATTCAATTATAAATATCAACAAAGGCAAAAATTTCAAATCATTACACCTCAATTGTTTACCTATAGAATAACTAAAATAATTAATTCAATATATGAAGCCGATTTGTTATGATTTATTGAACTAACCTTATAATCTATAGACATATAAAGGAGTTGGTATGAATTGTTGGAAAATCCGATGTGTCATAAGTAAATTGATTGTAAAATATTCGAAATATATATGTATATAAATGAAGGTCTATTTATCTTCGAATCATCAAAGATAATGTAAGTAGTAAAATTTTTTTATATTCCAAAACTTTATATTCTGTATTTCACAATTAGTACATGAGAGAAATCGAATTAGACTATGTTATTCTGACTAATTAACTTATATAGTGAATATATAATAATTGGCTTAGTTCACAATTGCTTAATCTATAGGACAGTGAATTCTACCTTGGTTCATTTATAATAATTTATAGTTCTTATTAGTATTCTTAATCATATCATTACTTCTAGTCTGAGCAATGTTGGTAGATGCAGAATACTTGGTTGCAGTCCGCGAGACTATCGTAATGAATGGTTGGAGACTATGGATGACATGGCTCAGAATCGATCACAATGACGTAGGTGTATACACTCTTTGTCTTCCCTTAAACTATGAGATTAAAACCGCTTCATATCTTTCTTTCTACCAATTAATTCTTTCTTACTGTACTATATCGTTACATAAAATCTTTTCTTTATATATTAAACCATCGAGTTAACTGCTTCAATGAATCCGGTGTTCGTCTTGGTGTGCTAATGAGGTGTGACAACTAGGACCGATGCATATATGTGCTTGGTCTTAAGTTGTAACTGAATGACTGACTTTTGAATTTCATAGTTTACGTTACGGAATGACTATAATTAGACAACTTGAACATCTTAGTAGTGGCTAATTTCGGGAGAGAATTCGCCGAGCAGAGTCCTACAATATCGGATGTGATTATGTTACCCATTAATCATATAAAAAAAAGGATGTCCAGTACCTCAAACTGACTGAAGTTGAAAATGTAAACCATCTGATAGTAACTCAGTTATCTTAAGATTAAGGGCTCGCCAAAACACACGTAATACCCCTGTTCAATCTCTGGTGGTATCATGGGCACCCAGAGATAACGAGTCACGTACTGGGACGAAACGTATGCCCAGTATTTCCTAGTATTCAGTGGCTGTCCAAATAAAGCTAGACAGTGATGTTAACTACAAAAAGAATTATATTTCACTAGAATCAAAGGATTCAATGCATATTAATTTCTTTTGTTTTAGCTGTAAATATATACAAATGCATCACCTTCTAGTGATTAGTTTTGTCACCATTTGTCTACTATTCCCAAATATATTTGCCAAAAAGCAAAAAGAAACCATAGATGTTCCATTTGTTATAGACGGAAAAGGTTAGTTGTATTTTTCTGAAAAAGGATATTTCTTATAAACATTGATCTTTCGGTTAACTAAAGTGATTTACAGGTTTTAATTTATCTTACTGTAAGATACATAAATGAAACTAAATATCATTCGAAATATTCCCATATTGTAAATTTAGAACAACATATATAAGCGAACAATATTGTTTTCGATTAGATCCTCATCAGGCTTTACTGTATATTAGAGTAAAGCCTGATGAGGATCTAATCGAAAACAATATTGTTCACTTATATATGTTGTTCTATCATTCGTATTGCGATTATTCTTGCTAATATTACCACTAATAATAATAGTATTAATAACATCAAATATTTAAATTTACTTCAAATACACACCTCATTTGATTAACTATACATTAGCTGTTGTTCAGCAACCAGTGATTCATTTGTACCTACCTACATTTTAACTTTGATTTCATGTAATAAATTTCACTTAGATATTTGAGATCATTGTTTACGTTTGAATGATACAAATTTCGATAAAACACTTTCGACCAGTGACCTTAAATAGAACAATCGGTAATTAGTTATAAATTTCAATGGTTGAGTTCATGAGTCAATTGAAGTTAAACCACCATGGAAAACCTGAAAGCAGTGGACGGCCGTTTATTACGTTAATCGCTAAAATGTTTAATATGAATTACTATTCTTTAATAACGAAAAAAAATAGGTATAGTTGAGTTTTACATAGGCAATACGACTGATTTTATACATTTTTAGCATTAAAAAATAAAATAATTTGTTTATCTAAAAGATATTTAAGTAACAGTATAATATACTGACGACCTTGAGCGACTTATCAGTCACTCAGGAAACGCTGCTTAGATATAAAACAGTTAACGATACAAACTAATGAAATAACAGAGGAATAACAGCTTCGATCATAAAAATTAACCGTCACAAGTCAAACTATCCTTTCTAGTAAAGAATTAAGAGCACGTTTACGTACATACATACATGCATACATGCATACATACATACATACATACATACATACATACATACATACATACATACATACATACATGCGCACTAGGAGTTGAGCTAATATAAGGCTTATCATCCCATAGAGTTCTCATCACCATATGAGATCAGTCACAATACAAATTAGTTAGGATTTGGTATCGAGAAATAAACTGAAGTTTTGACTTGAGTTTACAAATTAGAGTCAGGGTTTTCAACATAAATTGACCTCAGCTACAATCCAATGCCTTGTCACCTTCGTGTTTACAAACTTGAGAAACTTAGGGTCGAAATTTAAAATGAGAATAAGACAGTAAAAGCATTATCTAGTTTTTTTAAACACTCATGATTACCCAATGAATAACATTGAGTACTTAGACATACAATCTACCTTAGAAGCAGGTATATCATGTAATTTAGCTTAGGCACAACCTATAATTTAATTTATTGCTGTATAATAGATATTTTCATTGAGTTCAAACATTTTAAGAACCAAATATTACCAATTTTCATTTGGTTAATATTAACATGCACATTGTCTATCACCGATGATTTAACTTTGCTCAAAATAACTAAGGTGTTATTTTACTTCTGATTGGTTAGCTCAAGGCCATCAATATATTTTATTTGTACCCTTATTTAATTAATTTTTTTCTATGATCAAGGTGATATGATTATTGAAGTTGGTGGAGTGAAATTTTCGTTGAATTCTAAACAAGTTTTAAAATTTAACGATGGTGAAAGTAAAACTGAAATAGATTTTGGATCACCAACACCAGAAGAATTGAAAAATAAGAAAGGTACACGTCGATTAACTGAGTAAGTATGAAAATTTAATTATTATTGTATTATATACATTTCAATGGTTAAGATCATAAGTCAATTGAAGCTAGACCACTATGGAAAACATGGAAACACTGGACAGGCGTCTCGTCTTATTGTGGGACTCCTCAGCAGTGCGCATCCACGACTCATGATCTTAACCAATGAAATTACTATAATATCCACAAAACCCATCTGATATTAATCAACATATGCTCACTAATGACTGGCTTCAAGAGGTATATCCTGGAGTTCTAGTAAGAAGTACTGATCAGTGGAGTTCAACCAGGTCTGTTATGAGATAATAACTCACTGATGACAGTGGTGGATGTGTCTCTCAATTCCGTGAATTAGTTGAAGTTAGACATTAACAGCGTTGGATACCGGTCAGCTCAGTGGTCTAGTGGTCAAGCGCATGCGCACGAGACTGATAAGTCCTAGGTTCGAATCTCGCGGGAGGGTGCGAAATCGTGGATGCGCACTGCTGAGGAGTCCCACAATAGAATGAGACGGCCGTCCAGTGCTTCCAGGTTTCCCATGGTGTTCTGGCTTTAACTGACTCATGATCTTAACCATTGAAATTACTATACTATCCACAAAACCCATCTGCCTGATCCTACGTTGTAGCTGACTGACTGACTGACTGACTCATTTGCAAAAAAATGTCCATCCATTGTCTCAAACTTTATTCTTCCTTCATTTTCATGCCACTCTCACTCTCTGCTCTCATTCTCTTCTCTTCAATCTTCTCAACCTTTAGTCACCAGGCATTCCACTTTCGATTGATAATACATACTACTTATATCTGTCGAGATCAGTAGCACACACCACATTAGTACCTCATATATTTTATTAACAAAACATTTGATAATATATATGTATAATTTTAAAATTGATTTTACAATTGTACAATAATATCATTCCATTCTAATTATTTTTTAGATACTTTGATGAATCAGAAGTATAGGAATGGTGAATATTTATTATGACGATAATCGTTGTTTTTTTTCTTTTCATATCATTAAACAACTTGAATGAAGTGTTCTTTTGATCTTTCTTTCTTAAATTAAAATAAACTATAATTAATGGTCATCAATTTTATCATTGACTTGATCCATTTATTAATAAATTGAAAATCTAAGTCATATTGTAGTTTATTTTCGATTTTATTCTATATAAAAGGAATACTCTATTCTAAGAATTGAAGTTAGGGTATTTTGACAATAGTTGAAATTTCACAGATTGGAATCATGAGTCAATTGAAGCTAGACCACCATGGAAAACCTGAAAGCACTGATCCTGGGTTCGAATCTCGCGGGGTGCGGGATCGTAGATGTGCACTGCTGAAGTGTCCCGTACTAGGACGAAACGGCCGTCCAGTGCTTCCAGGTTTTCCATGGTGGTCTAGCTTCAAATAACTCATGATTTCAATCTGTGAAATTTCTAAAATCCCCACAAACCCTTTCTGATAATAGTTGAAATGTTAATATTCTCAATGTAATTGTCTTAACTACATCTTTACATGTAATATAATAAAATATTTATCAGTAAATGTTTCATATAAGTTTTTGGTTGGTTATATTTCCAAACAATATGTATACTGAAGAGTCCCATCATATGATGAAATGGTCGTCCAGTGCTTCCAGGTTTTCCATGATAGGCTAGCTTCAATTAACTCATGATTTCAATTAGTGAAATTACTACAATCTCCACAAAACCTCTTCTAATATGTATGTATAAATACAGGTATGATATCTGGATCTAAATGATTTATTAATGGGTAATGAACATTCGGTCAAGATTAATCATACCGTGTAGTATTTTATTAATTATTTAAAAGAATAGACAGTTAGTTATCTTTACAAATTCAGGATTTAGTACCAGAATATTTGTTCTTGAAGACTATGATTTTTAACAAATTCTTATCTGATACATACAGTATACCTAATTATTACAACCGTATGATTAGGCCTAATATTTTCGATACTTTACTGAAATCTATGTTATGTATAATAGCAAATGAATAATATACAGAGTTTTCAAAATTTCATTCATACTCAACATATAAATTTAGAAATTACCATTGAATATTTAAGAACAGATTATTAAGGGAAATGATGGTTCTCAATAACTTCTTCATCTCTTGATGCAGATCGTTTACTCTAATACCGTTTATTCTTCAAACATAAATATCGATTATAAATTAAATGGAACTTAGTGTGGTATGAAGTACAAACAAAAATGATTTTCTGTATTGTTCGCTAGTTAGTTTCATAATAAACGCGAACATAATCTCTAAGGAAATCAATGATATACTTTGCATGTGATTCACTACATTAAAAAAACTGTTGTTATTATTGTTGGGGCGAACCAGAATATTCTTAAAGATGCCCTGAAAACGCTGGGAAACATTTTATCCAATCAGCATTGAGCAGTAATTTCGCAGAAACATCTAGAAAGTGAAGAGTTTATTGTCATAATTCTGATAGGATAATTACATATCCTGTCATTATGTTTAGTAGGGTTTCAGAAGCCTATGACCATCTGAAATACTATAAATACCTTTGATTTTCTGTACATAAATTAACCTTGGAGTAAAGCTTTCCTTCCACATTTTGCATCTTTGCTCTCGTATTCAAGTTGTTGTGAAGATTTAGACTACGGCTTAGGAAACTGCTAAAAGGGTTCAGTTAGAAGATTTATTATAATTATAATTGATGCCATTTTCTTTTTCAATTTAAAAGCCAACTACAACTAAATATGTTTTACAATAGAGCGTAGAAAAAGATTACCTATTGTCAAACAATAATTAGTTGATACTTGTGAAATCTTTGATGTGTAAAAAGTTCTATGTGGGACTCACACACAAACCACATCAAAGAATTTCGATGAATCTCGGCGTTTCTAAAGCAAATGAAATTTGGTGTTCAGTGGTTTAAACGTTAAGTCATCATGCATTGAACTACCTAACCAGTGATACTAACAATATTAAATACAAGTCGGGATTACGTCTTAAATCTGACTTGATGTTTCCTTTGGTCATATCTTTAGTCCATTAATAGATAACAGTTGGAAGCATCAAGGAATGATCAGACACAATGTTTAGTCTCATACACTAAAAAATTGCTAATGGCTAATTTCCTGTTTTCGACTCCCAAGTGCGGGATCGGGGATGCACACTGCTGAGGAGTCCCACTATAGGACGAAGCGACCGTTCAGTGCTTCCAGGTTTTCAATGTTGGTCTAACATCAATCGATTCTCTGATCTCAATCAAAAGAACTTATTAATACCCACAACCCAATACTGATGTTTAGGAATACTTGTGCTTTTAAGAAGATGTTTATGGTAGTTCTTCACGTTTCAGCTCAGTACAGAAGGACTGTCTTGAGGTTCGCATTGAAGATTCTCACTTTAATATTGGTTAATAGTTGTTTTGATTTCATGTGTACTGTGGTGGTCCGTATTCAATATAATCCTTAAGCTTCGTATACAGTTCGTCTTGATAACCGTCACTAAATAACGCCCCAACGGTATATTAATCAGAAGGCGAATACGAAATGTTGATTACGTTTTTTTATCATGGGACCACACACAGATATCCAAAATAGATAAAGAAAAATCCAGTTATTGAGTCCTCCATAAACTCACCAATTAATTAATATTATGTTGTATGAAGTTGTCGTAGCACAATGAGGGAATGAGAAAGACCTTATAAATATCCTGGTTTTAACAAATCACCACGGATAAAACCACCTCGTCTTTTTCATTTCCCTATATTTGAAAAAGTTGTCAGGTTCGTGATATGATATCTCTATAGATTATAGAACTGTACACCAAACATTACTGTATATTTATTTTTAGATAACGGTTTTACCAGCAAATTCTTATTTGAAGGTGACCTATTTTAACGAGACCGATTCTCTGATAACAACTCGAGTGTTGATTCCTCAGAAAATTCGTTTTAGAAATTGTCCCTTCAACCTTCATAAAGGAGGAGAGAGCCCGCTCTCTTTCTCGAAATGCTTTCACATTTCCACGCGTATATATCCTCTGCCATGGAAGTTCCACTCATTGCCTTCTAGTGGCGGGGCTGTTGTTTACAGAATTGAGAGGACGAAAAACAAATGTCCGGCGCTCTAACTGGTTGGTGGGTACGGAGAATTCATCTAAGGGAGTTGGAAAACCCTGATTCCAAACTAATAATGCACATGGACTCCAGTACACTGAGGGAATAAATGGCGCATGAACCAATAATTGGTCACCGGGACTGCATCTCCTTACGATGTTCCACTGTCTTGTGGATCAGACCTTCAGGTCAAAGGCTCCGGGTGTGACCCCTTTAGAAAACCATCACATTATTATTATTATTATTATTACTATTATTATTATTATTATTATTATTATTATTATTATTATTATTATTATTTACTACGTCACTTATCCACTTTCTCTTATTCCCACTTCGTGTATCCTTATTTTCCAACTTATACAGCAGCTCGCCCATGGTGGAAACTCTGTTCTATCTGAAAGATTTCAAGTCACTGACTGGTCGAAAATTAAATGCTACCAGCGAACACGAATACTGAAACCACGTGCACCATTCAAACTGGCTGCCTTCAACGTTCACACACTAATGCAGATCGGACAACAGATAGGGCTGGATATGTCTTTAGAAAGTCTTAATATCGACGTTTATTGTCTATCCGAGACCCGTATTCAAGACTCTGGTGAAGTACTACAAATCCGCTCTCCATCTGTCGCTTCGAAAAGCTTGTTTTACATGCGTTTATCCGGAGACCCTGTGGCATCTTCGTCTGGTCTTGCTGGCGTTCGTGTTGCACTAAGCGCTAGAGCTGAGGCAGCACTAGTCGATTGGATCCCCATTAACAGTCGGTTATGTGCTGTTAGATTAGCTTAGAAAGTTCCATCAAAGTGAGAAGAAATCGGCGTGAGAAACGATGTCTTTTCGTCATCTCCGCCTATGCCCCGACAGATTGCAGCCCGGATGCAATCAAGGATGAATTCTACCACCAGCTAACAGTTCTTCTACAGAAAGTGCGTTCGACAGATATTGTAGTACTAGCCGGAGACTTGAATTCTCAGGTCGGGCGTCTAGGCACAGAAGAGAGTCGTTTAGGTGGTCGACGGGGACTTGTTGGTCGTAGGTCAGATAACGGGGACCATCTACTGCAACCGTGCACAAACCACAACCTGTTTCTGGCTAGCACTAACTTTCGGCACAGTCATCGCCGATGTGCCACCTGGCGTCCTTCCTCTGCATCTCAAGCCTGGACTCAGACTGATCACATCGCGGTCAGCTACCTCTGGTGTGGTTGTGCACAAGACTGCCACTTCTTCTAAAGTCCCCATCTGGACTCTGATCATGCCCTGGTCTGCGCCAACCTCACCTTACTTCTCGGTGGACAACGAAGTGACCTCCACCAAAGGATTGATGTCGGCAAGTTGGTTGCAAATTCTGTTGCAAGTAAGTATCGAACCGAGCTAGCATCTAGGCTAGCTATCATTTCACCAAAAAGTATAAATGAGCATTGAATGCAACTTCATTACGCCATGAAAATGGCGGGTACAATCAGTTGTGGGTTCGCGAAACGTCCCGCTTATAAGCACTGGGTTTCTGCAGGTTCCTTGCAACTCATTGAAGCCCGTCGGTCTACTCCGGGTGACCGTGAGTTTGAACACAAACGAAGGATGTTACGTAATGAAATCGAGCAAAGATTGCGTAAGGACCGAGAAGCCTGATGGTCGAAACCTGCTAATAAGCTGGAAGCAGCAGCTGCATCTGGTAATTACCGGAAGCTTTTCCAACTCATCCGAGCCACTGGCATCAAGAAGTCTGGTGTGAGTGAAACAATCTGTAAGGATGACGGAAAGCCAATCACTAAAATCCATCGACGTCTTGGACGACGGGCAGAATTTTTCGAAGGGCAGTTGAACTGGCCTGCTGCTCCGGCAACATCGGTCAGACTGTCCTGCCCTCCATGGCCAGCGACGACTGATCCACCGAATGAGGCGGAAGTCCGCAAGGAACCCCAACTCTTGAAGCGCTACAAATCACCTGGCCCAGATGACTTACCTCCGGCTCTTTTGAAAGATGGTAGCAACTTTCTTGCTAAGGAACTGACAACGTTGTTTACAAGGGTCTGGGAACTAGAGAGTGTACCAACTCCATGAAATGAGTTGATAGTTGTTCCTATCTTAAAAAGGGTTCACGTCGTTCCTGTAACAACTATCGAGGGGTAAGTCTACTTCCGATTGCGTCCAAACTGTTGGCTTCTGTCAAACTTCGTAGGTTGTTCAAAACTCGGTAAAGATTGACTCGCGAGCAGCAGGCTGGTTTTTGTTCTGGTTGAGCATGTATTGATCATATCTTCACCCTTCACCAAATGTTAGAATACCGCCATACTTATCAAAGGCCAACAATCGTATTGTATCTCGACGTTGAACAGAACTGTTCTCGGGGATTGTTTATTGAAGAAAGGTGTGTCTGAGAGGTTTTTCAACATTTTGAAAGCACTATATACTAACACCCCAGGAAAAGTGAGGGAATACAACCACCTCTCTCCATAGTTCCATTCAAGCGATGAGGTTATCCAGTGTTGCCTAATCCCACCATTCCTCTCCAACTTCCCCATCAACAACGTTCTGGAAACAGCTCTGATGGGTGTAGGTAATGTGGATCTGTTGCCTGGAGAGAGACTCCTCGACCTTGAGTATGTGGATGATATTGTCTTACTGTGCGACGATACCCAAGCTATTCAATCCACACTTTATCAGTTGGCAATCAGTGTCCGTAGATACGGTATGTGCTTTGCACCTTTGAAGTGCAAAGTACTTCCACAAGACTAGCCGGATTCTAGTCCTGTACTCACTCTGTATGGTGAGCAGATAGAAGTAGTCGAGAGGTTAGTGTATCTGGGTAGCTGCATAAGTGCTGGTGGTGGCGTGAGTGATGAGATCAATGTATGTATAATGAAAGCCAGAGCAGCTTATGCCAATCTGGGCCATCTTTGGCGCGTTCGCGATGTTAGTCTGGCCGTAAAATGTCGGATCTACAACACGTCGGTGAGAACAGTTTTGCTCTATGCTTGTGAAACCTTTCCTCTCAGAGTTGAGGATTTTAGACGACTCTCTGTGTTTGATCATCGCTGTCTCCGAAGGATTGCTGACATTCAGTGGCAACACCATGTTAGTAATGAAGAGGTTCAATATCATGTGTTGGGACACAGAGATGATAATGCAATTGGTGTCACCATCTTGAAACACCGACTTCGGTGGCTCGGACATGTTCTACGAATGTCGTCCCAGAGAATTCCACGTCGTGCATCATTTGCCGACTCTGGGACTGGTTAGAAAAAGCGGAGAGTTGGTCAGTGTATGACATGGTGTCGTGGTATAAAAAAAGCTGCAAAGGGCTGGCTTGTGTTGGTCCTTCACGACTCCCTGGCTGGGTTCCGAGAGATGGTGCTACACAGTGGCTAGAGACGTTAGCAGATATGGCTCAGAATTGAAGCCAATGTCTTCTTTAACTGAAAGAATTCTTCTGGTTGTACGTTTCTGTTTCCTCCATTATTATTATTATTATTATTATTATTATTATTATTATTATTATTATTATTATTATTATTATTATTATTATTACACTACCTTACACTAGTCTGTAGTCGTTATTGTTCTTCTTTTCTTATACGCACCTTACCTTCTTTTTCACTTCCCACTCTCATTGTTTTGTATGGCGTATATACATCTGGTGCCCCGTTTTACCAATATTTATGTGTTCAAATAAACAAATAATGATGTACAAATAATACAGTCTAGCACAGACAAATCTCAAATAACATAAATATTCATTCTAACCTAACCAATTTAGTTCATTAAAACTAATGGGCAACAAATATTGACCGTAAACCAAAAATCGCTATATATTTTTGGAAATATATTTATTTTAGTTGCTAAACTAGTTTCAAAAAAACCCAGGATAATAACAGGTTTCAATATAAAATAACAACGATCAGGGAGATGGGGGAAACGTAAATCAATTTGATTGTGCAAAATCAATATAATTTTATCAAGTTCTTTTTTAATATTCAACCAATTGCAGACATTTCTGTTTAAGAAACAATTGTCATCATAAAGATGTTTTTATTTTTATATTTAAAAAAAGGGGATTCAATTATCGTAGTAAGAAACAAATGCACATAATTGAACCATCGTGTAAGACAACAAAAAAAAGAAAGTGAGAAATGCAAAATCTACAAAAAAAGATACGATAAGGATATTTACATAGAGATAATAAAATATTTAACTGAAATCATATACACATGAAAGAAAGCTAGAGAATATAAATGAGTATAAGTATAAATTAATGTCAGAAAACAATCTATACAAACGAAACAGAAATATATCAATTAGTTACATAGTCACATGTAACGACAGATTATCAGTACAAATGTGTCTCCGCATAATAAATAGATTAATAAATAAGGTATATACAGTATGCAATTGAAATATTAACTTCAACAGAACAGTTATGGAACGTGAAACATCTTTTTTCCACCAAAATGAAAAAAAACGACGGATTTACATATTTGTAAAACAAAGCAGAGTTATGTTTTCTACACTGATAATAATGTTACGAATATGTGAAATTAATGGACTGAAGAAGATTGGTCAAAAGGGAGGACACATATACCAACCCATCCCTCATGTGCAATTAATGAAGGTCCAGATGACCATTGCCAATCAGCGAAAGGATTAGAAGAAGATGGGATGACAGAAGATAATGTGGAAGTACCACCATTACAATTGATATTAACTGAAGCGGATGGAATAGATGGTTGATGACTAATTGGCTTAGGTTTTAACTTTTCTAACATCATAGTTTTCTGGAGGAGGGAGGAAAGAGTTAAAGAAAATCCGCAAGGGGATAAGATACAATATGTGGGAAACAACTAGGTACGTTAAACATTAAAAAAATAACAACTATAATACACAAAGCAGTCTCCGTTACATGAAAATGGTACCTTTTAAATTCATTCCCCAAGTAACTTAGCTATGATGAGCTAAACTCTAGGTTTTGTTGTTAATGATACTATTCGGTTGCTGAAAAAAGTAGGTGGAGCGTAATGTTCGAACCTGGCGAATGATTGTAGTGGCTGGTACTATGTTAAGCCCAAACAGGTTATCCTACCTTCTGGACAGATCAATCTATTTATTCTTCTCAAGCCACATCTTGAGATTGTCACCAATACTCTTATTAATCCCGACTACTTTTTATTTGATCGTATGTGTGTTTATTGCTTACGCTATTAATTACATGCCTGTAACTTATTTTTGGTCTAAATATTGAGTGAGGCTTGGTTATATTGAGTTGACTCGATTTCTCCACTGCGTGTCATTTTGTCTCGCTTCGCTGTATTCTCTTCACTTCGTTTACCTGATTGCCTGTGCAGATGATAAATAAGTGTACGGAACATTCGTATTCAAACCTCATTCTCGTATTTGACTTATTTTGTTCCGCTATTCTCTAACGCAAACTGAGTCGAGAATTATATAGCTGGCATGTATATTCCGATAACGATCACCACATGATCCAACTGGATTTAGATACAGGGTTAACAGTGATCATATGGTGGCTTTGATATACATGAGAGCCATGATATAAAGCCAAAGGTTACCCAAGCATTGTTAACTTTCAAACATCATTTGCACTACAAAACATCGTCCGTTGGGTTGACCGGTGTTTGAGCATACATGACACATTTCCTAACTACCTTGGCTAATGAGTTTTCGCTAACTCATCAATCGATTTGTCACTCTTATCTATTACTCTGCATCTAACCTCAGAATTGCTAACTCAATTGTACCGAAATACACGAGCAAGGCATCTATGATTGAACCTGTGAATTTCCTGCATTTTTAAAGCCACATTTCACAGCCATAAAAAAAAGCGTGGCGAACTGCAGCTTAGTATACTCACTTTTGATTTGATAAATATCCTGCATACACCACAATTGATTCAAGTTGGTAAGTGCCGATCGAGCCTTTTGAATCCGTGCTGAGATTTCTTCAAAGTTGAAGACTATCAGGACTGATGATACTCTTTAGTGGCCCTTAATATGACTCCAGTTCGTATGAATGATTGCTATCGAAATATACATATCGTCGATTCTTGTCTATAATTATCGACTCAATCCGCGTTAGTAAATAAAGGGATTAAATAAACCAAATACGGGAATGGATTTTCGAATGCGTATATTTTCTACACTCGTTGGTCTGAACAAACAATCAAAGCAAGCGGAGCATATTGGAGAAGGCAAGTGAGCCAACTCAATTTAATCAAGCATTTATCAATATTTATAGTCAGAAAAAAATAAGCTACATACATGTGATGAGTAAGATAGAAAATGCACACACATACGCTTATATAAAAATAGTCAAGGTTGACAGGCGAATAATTAACAAGGTCAAAAGGTAGCCTGATGAGGATGGATACGTTGTTTTATCCAGAAGCTAGAATAAGCTATGTGTGATCGACATAGGACTAGCCACTACAACTCCTAAAGTGAATTAGTCGACATGCTCGACTACTTCACTCTATTATCGATTCAGAAGTTGATGCAAACTAGTCCTGAGATAAAATTTTGCATCTGAAAGGAGAGGATCGCATCTCAAACGCGATTGTATTGTCCCTTAAGGTGGTCAAAAGACCACATTTTATAAGCATCTCCATCAAATAGGACTATGTCACTAGCGAATTTTACGTTAACAAATGAATTTCCGAGTAGATGAACCATTGGAAAGTCAGACGACGAGAGTGTTATCTTTAAAAGTGTCGATGACGAAGGTAAATAAAAATGGAGAAGGTGGACAGCTTTGATGAACACCACTTGCGGTTGACAATTCTGGTGACATTTACCCCATAAAATCCAACTTGATCAGTGATGTTCAGGTAGTAGTATTATTTATTTATTTGAAAACATAGATACTGATACAAGGGGGGCCCAGATACATATGCGCCACATAAATCTCATTTGGTTTGTGTGAGGATTGTGATACTGCCCATGTGCCTAAACCGGAGCAGGTGGTTTCCTTAGGGTTCACACCCGGAGCCTTTGATCTGAAGGTCTGATCCACAAGGTAGTGGAGTATCGTAAGGAGATGCAGTCCCATGGTAGCCGGTGACCAACAATTGGTTCATACGCCATTTGTTCCCTCAGTGTACTACAGCCCATGTGCACCATTGGTTTGGAATCAGGGTTTTCCAACTCCCCTAAGTTGACTCTCCGTGTCCACCAACCCGGTCAAAGCGCCGGACATTCTCTTCTCGTTCTCTCGCTTTCGTAAACAGCATTCCAGCCACGAGGATGTAGTGAGTAGGACTTCCCTGGCAGAGGATATATACGCGTGGAAATGTGAAAGCATTTCGAGAAGGAGAGCGGACTCTCCCCATTCTCGACCGTACCAGGGCATTTGAGAGCAAGGTTGATGTACTTGTTTAGTACGCCTTTCAATAAAAAACACTGTCATAAAACCTATAAAACAATAAATTCAAGCACTTCTCTTATGTTTATCTGTGTGTATGAAGATAATTACAAAATAAAAATAAGTGGGAAAATTTTTGATAGGGTTGTGAATTTTCATGGACTATGATGGCTGAAATATGTGGTATACTAGCATCACGTAATGTTTGTCAGCATGAAAATAGAATAATATGGCTATAGTCTATAAAGTTAATGAGTAATGAATTGAGTCTTTCTGAGACAAAGTTTCTAGTTATGTTCCACCAAGTAATCAAACCAGTAGTTGGAGACCTTATATTTGGCATGGCTTCTTTCAAGCCTGGAAACGCAAACAAATGAGTACACTAACTGAAGTCAAAAAGTTTTCATTTTACAAGATCAAAGGCACATCAATTTTATACCCTTCGAAATACTTCTCACTTTCATAATTAAAGTTTCCCTGTCATCTCGGTTTCTGCTTCACAAAACAACCATTGAAGTCCTCATAATCATAAGCTTCATCATTCTACCTTCTAGCTAGGCTAGACCAAAACATGGCACAAATCCATGAAGTCACTGACAAGTGGACTGAGCCATGTTAGTAAGTGTAGACTACCTGATTGGGATCGCGAGATGATAGCAACCGATGGTTAGAGATCTTGAATGACATGGCTCAAAATCGTTTGCAATGGCGCAGGTGCATCCACTCTTTGTGTTCTCTCAAATTCTAATCTTCTGAATCCTTCATGTCCCTTTTTTTCTCTTTCTAAATTTATTTCGCTGGATTATACTCCTTGAATAATATCTTCAAACCCTAAAGTTTACGATTACTGCTTATACTCTTACTACGTCTACCACTATGGGATTTGAATCGACAATCGTATCTGTGTGCTAATGTGGTATGGCAACTCGAACTGATGTACGTACGTACGAAGTTCTACGTTGTTACTGACAGACTGACCTTCTTGCTAGGTTTGCGCGAACATGCAATTTTTCCGAAATCCGTTAGTTAACGAACTATCCAGCGATCAAAAACACAGAAAGCCATAAGCAGTGTTTTTTATCGACAATTCGTTCTCGAGTCGTATTATCTTTGCATTCTTTAGGTCCCTTACTGAAACCCTTAGCCTGTTTGGAAAGAGAATTTTTTAAAGAGTTATCTCGATGAACATCATTTAACATGTTATGCACTTTCTGGATTTTCCCAAATTTTCACCAAAAAAGCTCAATAGCTAAGTTGTATAGGTTTGCGGAGATTGCTGAGTTTCATTTGAATTATGAACCGACCAATGTTAGACCACCATTGAAAACCTGGAAGCACTGATTTCAACAATACCAACAAAACAAATAATTAAATTGTATTTACAAAAAATTTAAGCAACTTTTACCCCATTTTGTGTTGTTCTAACAAATGTAACCGCTTCAGTTGAGTTGCATGAAGAAATAGACTCAAAATCAGATTGCATAGAACATGAATGATGATTACAGGAAACGCCATCATCATTATTATCGTCATCATCACCATCAACATGATCGCTACAATTATCAGAAATCTTAGGTTTGTTCAATAAATTAGATAGTGTATTAAATTTTGATTGTAAAACAGTACTTGATAATTCATAGGGATTTTGTTTAATAGGAGATTTGAAACATTCAACTGTTCGTAGATGAGTACTACCATCATAACCACCTAAGTAGAAAAAAGTCTTTTGATTAAAATGAAACTATTTTATTGACTTTTATTAAAATATTCTAGATAAATTAGTGGCTCATAAGATAAATAACAAATTGATGAATAGACTCATCGTCATGATTCAGTTAGTTAAAAGTTGAATAGGTAAAGCACACAATATATAATGAAATTTTACCACAGATGATTAAAATGAATATTTGTTTATTCCGACAGAGTTATAAAAATTGATAATGGGGACTTGGGAATAACTATAAACAACAAACTTCTTTCATTTTACCATAGAGTTTGTCGAGATTATTGGATTTTATGGTTTACATCAAGGATCGATATTAGTTACGTAATGATTGAGAACCGATAAAAGCTGGACATTTGTTTTAAGCTAGTATGGCATTCTACAACAGTGAACATCTATGTCCCCACCAGGGATTGAATTCAAAGACATGTAGACCACTAGATGCTGACGCACTAATCTAAATGTTAAGATCCAACAGCAAGACCTGAAGGACCTAGGTTATATCTTTGATAAGGTTGTGGGTGTTTACTATTGAAATGTCTCATACTAGGATGAGACAGTCGTCCACTATTTACTCGTTCTCAAAAATTGTCTAATTAATGTCAGTTTATGATGTAAGCTATTGAATTTCCCCGTTTACTGGAAAAGAAAAAGTATGAAGTTAGAAAAATTTTTACTTCTGCTAGCTTTTGCGTATATCATACACTGTTTTATTCCTTGATTTCATTTGCTTATTTTGAAATATACTTTTTAACATTCACTTATTTCACCACAATCGATATTTTACTTTGATCTTCCCTTTTTCATTGCATTGATTTCTCTTCTCGATATTTTAATATGAAATTAAATAACCCGTACCCATCCCTATTTGCCCCGAATCCTACTTCTATGTTTATGACTCATCAATGACTGGGTAACATCCCATGAAGTAAATAATTTTCTACCATATGAAGACAATTTTCTACAACTGTAAACACATCCAACACGTTAAAATAACGAACAGTAATACGTTGGCCACAAAAAAAAGAAACTATTTCAATGGTGTTTCATCATTGATATTAACCAATAATTTGATAACCATGAACAGGTATACGCACTCACTTTTGAGTATAACTTAATGCGTGGTACTGCTACTTGAATGATGATGTAAATGACTGAAAGTCAACTGCCTAACTACTGAATCATAGATCGGAGCACATATGAACTAAAAGTCGCTTACACTCACATACGTTGTCACCAACAGCAACAACGTATCACCAGCTATGATATTATACTCAAGCCATCGAAAAGACATGACTCACCTATTGCATACAAACAACCTGCAGTTACAGCCAATCCGACTCGAGAACGAGGGACTGACAAAGATGAAATTTCAGTCCATTGTCCATGTAAACCATTACGATCTGGACCAGTTGTAGGATCGAACATTTCAACACTTTGTAGAAATGAAGCACCATCATAACCACCGGCAACAATTATACGATCACGAAACGCAGTTGCGCCATGTCGACATCGCCGATGTAACATGTTAGCTACTGAATACCATACATTAATAGGACTTTGCCGAATACCACTATTCTGATGATCAGTTTCAAAACGAGAGGATGGTGAAAGTGTTTTAGGTAAATCTCCACCTTTTTCATAGCATTCTACTGTTGAAAAAACAGCTAAACCATTGTGTCCACCAATAGCATAAAGACGACCATTGAGAGCGACAAGACCACCAGCGGATCTGGGTTCATTCAAGCTTGATATTAACTTCCATCTAAAGAAAATAAACCAATCAAATAAAAAGCTTCAAGAATTAACGTCATAATATAAATGAGACTATTTTATGCAAAGCATTGGCTGGATAGTAAATAAATTACAGTTTTAAAGTACTTAATGCTACTAAGGTTGAATTCCTTAAAAACTGAATGTCTAACCTAACAAATACTGATAAATACTAAGTTTCGGCTCGTAAGGACTCCTACTAATCAATGTACTACCGAACAATATCCATTATCATTGATTATTATATTTTTAGTTTGCATGTTAAACAGTTAATCTCCATGGTTCTGTTTTAGGCTGAGTCGGTTACAGTAAAAACCAGTCTACTAATATTTTTGTAAAGTCACAAAGCAAAATGACACAAATGTCAATCTCAGGGGAATCATATAATATTTGGAAGTTATAGACGCGATTTATCGATAACGGATAATAAGCGAGAAATAAGGATCCATAACTTCCTGTGCACTGGAAATTAACTATGGAAAACCAAGTTGTTTGTTGCATGATAGTGATAATTGTGCATTTTTTTAACAACTCATTTACCAGGTATAGATTTATGTACTTGAGTTCGAGTTAAACAAAGTTTAAAGGTTAGTGATACTAAAATAGATGAAGCTGGGATTCAAACCTGTGATTTAGTGGCCGAACGTTGAACACCATAACTATTTAGCCACCTCCTCACAGCTCTTCAGTATAGATAACAAGTTTGAATATCATGATTAATGTAATTACTTCAACTTGATCAAATATACTTATAATTAAGTTTAAATCCTGAGATTTTATTTTTATTTTTTTTAAAAAAACTGCTTACGTATCTTGTTCTGGAATATACATCTCACATGTACGTAAAGATGTTTGACCATCAAAACCACCGCAAACATACAAACATCCATCATAAGCAGCAGCTCCGGCAGCACTACGTCGACAAATCATTGAAGCAACGGTTGCCCATTTTCCAGTTTTTGGATTATATACTTCAGTTGTACGTAAGCGAGAATTTCCATCGAAACCTCCAATAGCGTATAACAGTCCTAGAAATAAGTAAAAGACAACAATTGCTCTTTAATTATAATCCTAAAAAACATTTTATATACTGCTTTATGGAAAAGCAGCAGATCAGCGATTTAGATACTTCAAGAACTCAAGCATTAGTGACAGATCTGAATTACTATTTACTTAGAAATTTGGAGAAATGCATAATTTACCCATATGGATTCAACAGCTGTTACACTAATCGCTGTTCCCTCCTACAGACTTCAACACAGATCCTCAAGAATAAATTTCCTTTCGAGGTGCAGGCAACCGGGAAACGACATCTGTTCTTAATTCTTTTCTCATCTGGACCATGTCTAACTGAAAAAGGGTACTAATACATCGAATTCTATTGTAAGTAATTACAAGATTTATTCATTATTGCATGAAACCACTGCCCCCAAATGCCCTGGTACGGCCGAGAGTGGTGCATATGGGCTCCAGTATCCTGCGGGAACAAATGGCGTATGAACCATTCGTTGGTCACCGGCTTCCATGGGACTGCATCTCCTCACGATGCTCCACTGCCTTGTGGATCAGACCTTCAGGTCGAAGGCTCAGGTGGCCCCCTAAGAAAACCACCTGCTTCGGTTTGGGTACCCCAGCAGTATCACAGCCCTCACACATATCGAATGAGATTTGTGTGGCGCATATGTATCTGGTGCCTCGTTGTACCAATACCTAGGTGTTAAAATAAAATAAAAAATAATAAAGAAACCACTGCAACACATGAACCCGAATGGTATGGCTTCCTACATTTGTACACTCATATGATTATCAGATGTCATTAACATTTGAAATCTAACCATTCAAAAACTTAATCTTTCGACTAATTTCTTAAGTATTCAAACTAAAAGAAGATCAGTTAAATTGCTAAGGGAGAGACAATGAATTTTAATAGATACATAAAGCAGAGAACACATACTAGTGTAGGTGGGACTGATGATATTACGAACCGAATGACTTAAACATGAATGAAAAACAATTTAATTATGAAGATATCCCGCTTTTATAGATGTAGGTTCGATAGCTATGATTATTTGTCCAATTAAAATGTTTTAAGGATTTTTAGCCTAAAATGCTTCAGATTACAGATATGGAGAGATCGCAACTTTAATTTCTACATAAGGGGAGAAGGATTCTGGCAATCAGATTTCAACTACACATATATTTGCTAAGTGTCTTGGTAATTAAATAAAAATCAAACAAAAAGGGCATCCCTTTTACTAAATGTAAACGGATAGGTTGGTATTATATGGCTGTCGCTTATCTGTTGAAGGACTTGAATTTCAATGAGTATTCTGAAGTTTCCCACAGTGTTCCGATTACAAATGTTTTGACTGAAAATTTTCACATAAAACATGTGGCTTGTAGTTCGCCATATAATCTAATAAGCTATTAAGTTACGCTTTTATGCTACATTTGAAGTTGAACACCTAAGGTTGAAGTTTCAAAGAGTATAAGGATTATCAAGATTATGGATATATAATTTGCAGTGATAACAACGTCAAAATTTAGGTTCAAGGACTTCTTTCTATTATTTAACTATTCAGTATAAAAAACTCGGTATTTAAGCTTACCATTCAAAGCAACCACACCAATACGACTACGCTTAGATATCATACTTTCTGATAATTCCCAACGACCAAGTGAAGGATGATAAGTTTCCACAATCCCATGACATTCCAGATCTGTATTCCAACCACCAACAGCATAAATAACACCGAAAATATCTTGACATTTTCTAGGTCGACAATTAAAGAATTCCGACGTCTTCCATGACATAAGAAGTACATCACGTACTTCATCTAGAATATCTCTGCAAAAGTAAAGTTTAAAAAAGTCTAAATAAGAAAAAAAACTTGTCACTAGTGTAGCAAAGACAAAACCTGATTGAAACTAGTGTTCAGAAATTTCTGAAATGATTCAATTATTTTCACTGTTTAAATATAGTTTCATAAGATATTGATGGTCAGTATTGAACGCTATATCTGGAAACAGATGTACACATGTACAAGTCGATATATTTAACGTTGAAACGGTAACAAGTTAAAAAGATAAACAGCGGAGTTGCAGAGATACGAGCAGTTAAAATATCGAGAAAAACAAATCAATATATAATTCAAAACCAACAATGTCTAATGAAAGTGAGTATCGTTGACTCTACGACTGATTTTGACCTAGGTCATCTAATGTCTCCAACCAGTAGTTGTAACTATCATGTTATATAATGGCCACAGATCTATTCTAACAGTCAGGTCTTACTTGACTGGAGAATTAACGACCTACAAGTTGACTTCATCCGATCACCTATAACATTTTATTATGTTTATTTTGTGTTAGTACTTTGTACATAAAAATGTTACTTCATCTCTTTGAAAACCCAATCTTCCAGCCAATGATTCTGTTTGTGATTTGTAATCATTCGGGAGGCTTGGATCAATAATACAGAATCGTGAGCAGCCACCACTCAACCATACCATATCATTGTAATTTATCTATAGATTAGTACTCAATACACTTACTTTAATAATAGAAAATTTAGTCTTATCACTCATTGAAAGCTCCCAAAACACAAACAATCTTCAAGTAAGAAGCTTGCACCTCTAAAATGGGTTGATTTAAAAGTCAGAAACTTTAAAACCAGATGAAATATCTCGGTCTGGCCACTAATCGTCTTTTTCTATTACTTGAGTACTGGTTAGGACACGATGTAGTAGTAAGTAGTGGCTGGGCATGTACAACGTATGTCCTAACTATCAACGTCTATGAAGACTCACAACTTTATGATTTTAGGAATATGGGACCTCAATTAACTTCAAATGTCTGAGATTCAAAGTATCGACACTATCACAATTATGCACCGGTTTTTCATCCAGAGCTTAAAGCCGTTAGGCTTTTGAGATTTTTAAGTAGCTAGTTTACAATTCATTGGGAATAAACACATTAATATACGGATCGAAGAAATTTCCCAGCAAATATCCGATGTATTCAAGCTGAAGTGAAGTAATGGATTAATCACCCAATATTCATCTACCAAGTTTCATATGCTTAAATGCGATTCCAGATGATACAATTTGGGCAGCTTAGTATTTTTAGTTTTTAGAAAGGAATTAAGAATCAATTCGTAAACACATGACTATTAACGTAACTACTTGATATAACTTTATTATTATTTGAAACATTTTTGTCTATAGAATAACTTACCTACAACGAATGTCCTTTCGAATAAGATCATGCCGCGAAATAACTGAGAAAATGTAGCTAACTGGAATTAGAGGTAGTCTGATTCGCCTAAGAAGGCATGGAAGAAAGTCAGTGCGGGGTTTGCTATTGAATATTTGTGTAGAACAATGACAACTATGAAAATGATGTGTAGAACGTAAAGAACCATTACAACACGAATTTCGATGACCAATCTCACTTGAAACAGATGGTTTTATCGAATGCACATTACTATCATAATATTCAGGTAGCTCAATTACGTTAACAGACTCTGATATAACAGAGTTCGTCTCAGTATCAGAATTGGATTTTGTTTCAAATTCAACCCAAGACATAATTATATGAAACAAGCGTTCTTCACTGCTGACATTCAGTTCATCTGACTCCAGTAATTCCATCAATTCGCATCCTTCAAGGTTAAAAAATGAAGTTGTGCGTGCGATATCTTCGAAATTTTTGTAGATATATGCCTCACAAGCAGATACCAAGTCTGTACATAGATAGCTTTGGGCGAGATTTCTTATCGGTAAGACTATGTCGACAGTCAATCTGTGAAAAAAAAACATCCAAACAACATCACTGAACTCTATGAAAAGAGAGCACAAGAGGTCAGTGCAGTAAAAAATTACATCAGACTTGAGGTCAGGAACCCTTTCTTCTAATAATATACGACGCACAAACATACAAAAACTACTGTGAATTAGTGGTCTCAAGATGTGAAACACGTTTAATTCGGAAATATCTTAATTATGAAATCTTAGAGAACGGTTACTATAAAATGCATCGGCAAAAAACGCCGTCACAATAACTAATATAACAGACATCTAATCTCTTTTACCAAGCAAGATGTACACTTTAAAACCGTTTACATCGATATTATATACTGGTTAATCAAACGAAGATAACTTAGGACCTGGTATAAATATATATCGATCGAAGCTACCAAACTCCACATTAGCACAGAGACAAGACATCAGAAAAATGTAAGCAAACTAACAGCAAAGAATAATAGCAGAGTAAAAAACAGGTCAAAATAGACAAGCGGGAGACTGAATAACAAATTAGGGGACTTGAACATTCAGTTGGAGGACAAACTAGAACTAGCAAATCATTCAACAGTGAATGTAAGCACTTTTTATTGCTATCAATATTATGACAACCGTGTTTAGTTCAGTACATTTATCAGAAGTTTCTGCCCTAACTGTCACCGAACCTTCACAATTATTAAGTTTAACTAGACTTCACAGATATGACACACACATCCAATGAACAACCATATTATTCTTTCATAAATCTTCGTATAGTAATGTTTACATTGTTTAGCCCATTTAAGAACTTTAACATGAGACGAAAATAAGTGGTTCTACTGGCTTTCCTTTACATCAATAAACTGTACATTTTCCACCATAAAGCCCGACTACATTGCAAGAAAAGTGGTTGCAGCAGAAGTGTTTGAGATTACCACTTTAAAATATATTATTAAAAAAGATCAATTCTCCGACTCTCAGAAATGACCTTTAAGAATCAACATGAATTTTAGAAAGTCATCGAAATGCCATGCAATATTTCCTCCGATGAGAAAAAATTAATGTGCGAAAATTCACTAGTTGGTAGTTAGGTCGAGCAGTCTAACAAGCTAAGCCCAAAGTGTAAAATACTTATCTATCGATGGACAACGTTTAAGACTCTATTTCTGCTCATATTTATTGATTACACCCTTATAAACTCACCTTTCACTGATATATCTGCAACAGATGTTACGAACATTATTAAGCTGCAAAAAATTGGCACCGACTAAGATTGATTGAACATTACGAGGGTTGATTTGAACTAAGCCAGTATAAGCATAACCAATGAACGCTTCTAAAGCACTGGATACTAATAAGAGATAAATAAATTACCAAGCGTCAACTCCGTGAATGGTGACCTCGCTTTTGGTAGATTCTGCCATGTTACTTAGAAACATTCCATTGAAGAATGGTATAGTGGCGGCCAATACAATCTTGTGTGCAGTGAAGCGATTATTATCCGCCTAATAATCAAACAAATAACTGTTACAACTCACAATCAAAGTGACATCGCATAGTTTTCCGTCTCTTCGCATACAATCTAAAGCATTGAAACCAATCTTGTATATCTCACGATCTTGAAAATTGAGAGAGTTTGGTAGATAAGACTGTAAGTATTGAATTTAAACATATCTGAGCATAGTTACTTTGGCCTTAACTCCAGCTGATGTACCGCTCATGTTTAAAAGTACTTTCAGGAATGAACAAACAGTTTCAATTGATACTGTTCAATATCCTTTGAATGAGTCTGTGCAACAAAAATAAATTCCTACCGCTCTCCTATCAATATTTTGATAACGATACACGTCTATGTTGGCATTCAAAATGTACTAGTTTAGTCACTTGACTTCAATAGTCTAAGTTCTTGGTTACTTAAGGGTCTATGCATCTGTGAAGTCAAGTCCTAATAAGATATAATCTAGGTTAAAAGTAAATTTCATGTGAAAAACGATGGTCTGAAATAGCCAGATTGCCTATATCAGGTGACTTCATTCGTAAAATACTATCGCGTAATATTTTAACCATGTTATATTACTCATGAAGCTCTTCTTTATGAAAGCATAATACATATTATCACAACTAATCAAATGGTTACTGAAGATTGGCTGATGCCTAGTGTTGACCATACAAAAATATTCCATCACAAACAATCTAAGGTCCCTAAACATAAGCTTTTGATCACTTCTATTAATTCTATAAGCTATCTTCACACATTCTCGCTGCATACTACTGACGATGGCACAGGTATTCAGTGTTTGACAACGCTTTAACCAGTAACACCTTCTAATATGAAGCGTACCCACCAAGAGAAATCAAAAGACAGAATCGATGAGGTCGGAAGATATATTTGTTGACTGTCAATATATCGAGAATCGTTTGATCTAATCTGGCTAGCGATTGCAGTAGATGTTGAGCACGGCGTTCCCACTTGTGATCTGGTGAGGTTGCATGACCGAGAACCTTGAGCTAGGTGAGTCCATTAAAACGTATTGTCAGCATCCAATGTCGGAAACTTACAGAGCTTTTAATTTTGTAAATTTATATACCGCTACACTACAATACGCCTGGATTGGCTACTTTAACATTAAGGTAACGTAGCGGTTTGTCAATAAGTATCTGAGCCAGTTTCCGTTTCTCGCAAGATCCTGTAGCTACAATTTCTAGTGCTTTCTAACGCTGACAAGATAGTAATAACTGTTGTTGCTGTTCCACCGCGTCGCCGATTCAGCCTAATATTTCATTATCGATACACCTGTGGAGATAGGTCTGACAAGCCTATTTTGCAAATAGTTTTTAATATTATTGGTATTTATTTTGTCAATTTCTCACTACATGTACATTTATCATTAAATGATTGTACCTGTTGTTTTAGTAAATGACCTTGAACACGTTTTCCGTTGTGATTCTAACAGCGTGACATATCGTTGCTGGTTAACAAATACACATCCTTCGTTTTGTTTTCATTCGAGATTGAGTTAACTGAAATCTAAAACAAATATTATTTACATTCATAGACTGTGAGAGTGAATACACCATACCTTACTTTGGATTAAACCACTGAGGATTTCATCGATACGTTTGGAATTACCAAGCATCTATAATTGTGGATTTATTGTACCAGATTAGAGCTGAACACGCATCATTTTGGGTGAACTTAAGTAAAGTCCCATTTTTATTGTATTTTTAACATTCAACTGATATATATTAATATTAATATTGCTTTGTAATTAACTTTGTTGATACTTTTTGCGTTTATATATCGTCTGGTCCACCACACATCTCCCGAGATTATTGCAAGAAAGATAATGAACGAAGTTTAAAACTCAGCATGTCTAAACTACAACAAGTAGACAAATAAGATAATAATTGAATGGGGTTAGTACAAGTCACCTCCTTAGGTTCATTGTTTGTCTGTCAGACTATGTATTGGATAAGACTCGGTATGATCTAGAATACACTCATTAGTAATAGAATTAGCAACTGAAATTGGAACCCACTCACGTGTATCCTGGAACTGTATATGACCACAATGTCGATTGTGTACAGACGTTCCAACACTATCCTCTCCCAAGTAAGAATATTGAATCTTCATATTCCCAGGTTAGAAATAATGTGGCTTCATTTAAAACATATATCTCACATTGATTGGAGAATCCATCAGAGGTATCACCACGATAATGATAGATAACTGTTCACGTGAAATCATCCGAATTGTAGTCCAAATCGAGCTCATTAAGTACTCGTGCTTCGAAATGAACAAGTTTCCCACAAGAAAAAAATGCATTATGAGGACAAATAACATTTGATATGACATCAGAATTCGATAATTTTGCCATATTTTCCTCAAATTTATTAAAACTATCATTGGAGAATTATGAATCATTGGAAAAATCATCATCTATCAGAACTGTATATGGTCTTAGATCAAGATTTGATTCATTCAACGTATTTTCATCACACTTATGAAAAATTTCATCAGAAATATGTGAATTACTAGGACAAACCATATTTGGAACTATAACATGAGAAATTCGATAAGAAGTTGATTGATTAGAAACTTTTGTCTAACAGGGATCCTGACTTCCATTTGATTCTGGACTGCCATATGACTCTACACTGCTTTTCGAAATCATGGGTAAAGATAAATGATTGCCAGGGACACTCAACCTAATTGGATCGGAATTACAAAGTTTAAAACTACTTACAGTGAAACAAACAGTGGTATTACGAACTGACTGCATGTATCCCATTTTACAACATTCGAAACACTTGGCATTACGAACTATACACGAATCACATGAGTAAATTTGGCACAGGACAAATATCTACCGAACTTGTTCTCATTTTCGTCACCTGCAACTCAATGTATTGAATTGCCTGATGACCTGACAAATCATTTCATGGATTTTTTTCCTTTTCATGATTCGAAATTTGTACACTTTACATGGTCAAGTAGTAACTCATTGAGAGTTGCCTAAGCAAGTGAAATAGGCTTTTCTGGAAGTGACAAAATTTTTATAGGCTGCAAGGTTATTCTCGGATTATTATATGGAAATATGGCCTATTATTAACATCCTAGACATCTTCCTTGGTCATAGTCCAGACTTTGAGCGTTCCGATATAATCTTCAAAAGCTCCAGAATTTGAATGCATGTTCAAACGTTTCATCACGACACTTATGTAATGAGCAGAAGTATTCGAACGGTTTTACGCAATGGGAATCTTCGAAAAGAGTCAATTTAATTTAGGTAGAAATATGTGAGCACAAACGAACGTATTGTCTTTTGTATTCGAAATCCGGCAGCCACAAAGTAAAAAAGAATCGTTAGCTGATAGACGCACCATAGTAAGAGTGAGATCAAGAATCAGTGAATGAATAATACTTGCTTCCCACATAATGAGCACATTTGGAGAACAAACATTATCTCGTCGACAGAGCAGCATATCTATTTTGTAGACTGAAGAGGTTAATTAAGTGGTCTACGAGTGTAATTTAAAATTATATCCGAACGACCAAAACGTCTGGGGTAGATAATCATGTGGAATACTCTACCAACGCAGAGGACAAGATGTAATAATTTATCCAGAAGTACGCGATAGATATAGCAGTACGCAAGACTACACAACTTCCTGATGAATAGCACTGAGCTAGGAAACTGTTCAAGTTCCCCATTAAACTTTATTAACCACACTATACTCAATAATTTAATTATTGTGAATTTTGTCTAGAAAACGTAATAAATAACGAATCACTGACTGACTTTTATTTGTATACGTCCTTTATACCATGCTAGACGGGTTTAACAGTTCAACTGGCCTTCAGCTTCCCTACAACTACCCTCCATTCCCAGACAGTGTGAATGGAACATTGAAGTAGGTCCCCCAAATCTAGCAGAAGTTCAAAAGGCTATAGCTAGTCTGACACGAGGAAGGGCAGCTGGTCCAGATGGACTGGCTCCAGAGGTCTTTAAGGATGGTGCTCCAATTTAGCGATTAGGTTGACTAATATTTTAGCTAAGACCTGGGAATTAGACTTTATCCCATCTGACTGGTCGCAATCACTTATCGTCCCAATATATAAGAAAGGGTCAAAATCATCCTGTGACAACCACAGAGGGATTAGTTTAACTAATATAATATCTAAAATACTGGCCTCGATAATTATCAAACGCCTAACTAAGACTCGTGAACTACAAACTCGAGAGAACCAAGCTGGCTTCAGACCTGGTCGTGGCTGCATCGACCACATATTCACCATTCGTCAGGTTCTAGAACACAGGCATACATATCGGCGTCCGACAATCGTGGTCTTTCTTGACCTAAAGGTAGCATTTGACTCTGTAGACCGAGAGGTTCTGTGGCAGTGTCTGTCATTGAAAGGCGTACCTCAGAAGTACATAAACCTTGTGAAGGCTCTTCACTCGAACACTACAAGTCGAGTCAGAGCTTATAGCGAACTGTCATCTACTTTTGCAACCTCAAGTGGTGTCCGTCAAGGCTGCCCACTTTCTCCATTTATGTTTAACTTCATCATTGCCCTATTGATGGAAATAACACTCTCGTCGACTGAGTTCTCGGGTATTAATCTCCATCCAGGAGGTCCACTCATCGACTTAGAATACGCAGATGACATAGTCCTGTTTGGTGAAGACGCTGACAAAATGCAGAGTCTTCTGGTAGCACTGAGCAACAATGGCAGAATGTTTGGAATGCGCTTCTCTCCCTCTAAATGCAAGTTGTTGCTTCAGGACTGGTCTGGGTCAACACCTGAACTAAGGATAGGGAGTGAAGTAGTCGAACGCGTTGACAACTTCACTTATCTTGGAAGTCTGGTGAGCCCTAATGAATTGGTGTCTGATGAAATCTCAGCACGGATTCGAAAGGCTCGATTGGCTTTTGCCAACTTACGTCACCTTTGGCGGAGGCGAGATATCCGTCTATCAATAAAAGGACGAGTATACTGAGCGGCAGTTCGTTCTGTTTTAATTTACGGCAGCGAAACATGGCCATCAAGAGTAGAAGACACTCGTAAGCTATTAGTATTTGACCACAGATGCCTTAGAAATATTGCTGGAGTCTGCTGGGATCAACGGGTAAGTAATAGTGAGGTTAGACGCAGGGTATTACGGAATGATGGTAAATCAGTTGATGAGGTTATGAATCTTCATCGACTGAGATGGTTGGGCCACGTATTACGTATGTCTGAACACCGATTACCACGTCGTGCAATGCTATCCGGTATTGGAGATGGTTGGAAGAAAGTTAGAGGCGGCCAAACCAAAACGTGGCATCAGTGCTTGAAGTCACTAACTTCTAGTCTGAGCCATGTTGGTAGATACAGACTACTTGGTTGGGGTCCGCGTGACTTTCGTAACCAATGGTTGGAGACTCTTGGTGACATGGCTCAGAATCGATCACGATGGCGTCGGTGTATACACTCCCTGTCTTCCCTTAAACTAGATTAAAATCACTTGATATCTTTCTTCCTACGAACTAATTCCTTCTTGCTATACTATATCCTTATTGCAATCTTCCTCCTATATATTACCACCTTTGACCTAACCACGCATATGAATCCGCTGTTCATCTTACTGTGCTAATGAGGTATGGCAACCTGGACCGATGCACATATGTGCCTGGTCCTACGTTGTAGCTGACTGACTGACCAGACGGGTTTGATGGCTCTTTTTCTGGATACGGTTTAAAGCATTCCCATCCTATTGGGGTGAGCTAAAGAACACGGGGTTGCGATATGTAATAAAGCATTCTACACAAATACATCAGTACTGACTATGAGATTTATCTAACGAAAAAGACATGAAAAAGTCGCATTTTAAAAATTTTTATTTATAAAAAGACAATCACACTTTTCACCTTCAATAAAGTATGGTATGTGATAATACTGACGAGCATGTCTCTGTCAGACTAGTGATCAAAACAGAGTAGTTTGACGTTTTTCATAATACAGAAAAAGTAAAAGTTAGAAGAACAAGATTGAATTCACTGACATTCTACGAGCATACGTAGGATCATACCTAGATAACATTTGTAATATGCAGCTCACAAAGCTTAAGTTAAGATTACAGTAACAATAAAACAGATAGGCGTGTGAAATCTGCAAAGTGTACTAGGAGATAGGTCAACAAATTATCAGTCAATCTCGAATGAATTTGCCATGTTTTCAGTTAAATTTATTCAATGCGTAACGAGTCCCCACACGACGTGCTGAGTGAAAAAAAAAACAACAAGAGGAGAAAATTAAGACACAATTAATATTGATTTTCAAAGGAAGCAAATTGTTATTCATGTACGGTTTAGGTATACGATCGTATAATTCACAAGAAATAATGCCAACTGCCGATGTTACAAATGTATGTGATAGGTAGTAAATGAGAGATCTACAAACAATCACCGGTCCAAAAGAAGTATTCAGTTAAAAGAATCTCTAGTTTTCCATTAATAAATTTGTTCTTAAATAAGTGAGCATGTCAAATGTAAATAAATATTAAAAAGGTCAAGATAGTACATAAACAGGATTCCAAAACCCTACGAAATATATTTCAATTCTGTACAAACATTAAGAGCTAATATGTATATGAATGAATAAATAAGCAATTCAAAAACAAATAGAAATTCTTGATGTCAATAAACCTGTGACTATTTTTAAAAATATACAGATATACCGGTAGATATACTGAAGAATAAGTGCACTAAACAGGAATAGGTGATCTTACAAGCAAAACAGTGCCACAAAACACATGGTTAATGTTAACACAAATCTCTTTGTTAGTGTATTGAAATTATTAATCTAAATAAGAGACATACACCAGAAAAACCGGTACTTATATGAAATGGTTGAAACTATCACAGATTACACGACGAAAATAACAGAAAATCTACACCAAAAATAGACCAATGGTGGGACTAATAGTAAAAGTCAAAGGTACAGATAGCAATAGAGAATGAAATGAAATGAGAGAACTGAGACAAAATCCATGGCGAAAAGAATAGAATGATATAGTGCTTAAGAGGAATATAAAATAGAGTGATATTCAAGTAGTGTGATTGAAATCAACCCATTAATTGTATTATTTCAATACAGTCGATGAATTAATTTAATGAAAAACAGTACTATTGAATAGCTCTTTTAAATCGTTGCCTAACAAATTATAATTTAGTCAACATAAATGATAGTCTGAGTCATTTAGTAGAAGATCAAAGATAACATAGACTATACTCTTCCCAACAGTAACAATCGACCTAATTAGGTAACAGATAAAAAAAATAATGCATTATAAGCCTAAAATTGACACAAAAAAGTTGTATACAAGATCACAAGCTACAAAGCGCATCTAACAAACCATAAGAAAGGAATACATTAACTAAGGACTAAACAAACATTGCATATGTTTGTTACTAATATTCACTGTTTAGTCAATGTAAAGGAAATTCAATATCAACCTGAATAGCTCAGTAATATCAGCTGGATAGAATCCTGACAATTTTATGCCTTTATAGGACTTAAATGGGAATAGACATGTCGGTCTACTTTTAACCAATCAGAGCTGTTAGGCGAATCAGAAGGATGCTAGGAGATTCTTTTGTTAACTCCACTGTTTTCACTAGTGTTTTGTTGTCCCGATTTTAAGAATATATATCTTCCAGTTTCAACTCTCGTTTCGATTTTGGAAGAATCAAGTGAAGCATCGTAGTTGAGGAATACTACACAGTAGAAGAGCATAACAAACATTAGGTAACGCGGGTTCTAATCTCACAGACTGGGCTAGTCCCTCCAAGACTCCAAGTCAGTCTAGAAGACGACGAATGACAACGAGCGTAAAACTCGGGATTCAATACACTCTGCCAACTGATCCATAAACACTAAACACATTTAATTTTACCACACCCACATCGGAATAGGGAAGCACATAACTAGCTTTACAAAGATGGTTAGTTGCTTCACAGTCTAAAAGGTTAGTTAGTATTTGGCAATCAAATCTATTTTTGCTAAGCGAAATAGGATAAATATGGTAACTAAAATCAGACAACATCGGAAATCACTTCACACAAAATAGAAATTCTGAAAAATCTTCATAAAAAGTAAACATAAATCTACGAACATTATTAGATTCACTGCAATCATTTCCCTTACAAACCGAATTTATTATGATTAGAATACAGTATGTGTTAAACATACCTACCTTTGAATTAAACAAATGCCTGGCGCCTCGCTAGAATTATCATATTACATATACATACACACATATTGTTTAATACATATATATATGCATAGATTTGGAAAATTTTTAGTTTTACTCAAAGGAGAAAAAACAAAAACAAAGAAACCCTAGCAGAACACGATGAATTAATGTTGATATTTCAAGTGTTCGAACCGTCCAAGTAACTTTTTAATTTCCTCTATTCAGTTACGTAATTTTTTATTCCATAATCTCAACAACAGATTAGCATCCTTTATTCACGGGTTTTTTTTAGCTTTACTCATTTTACTATGTTAGTCTATTCATTTTTATGGTAATTATTACGTAACTTTTATATCGATTTTCATTCTCTAGAAATGTCTCCATATTATCCAAAAAACAATTTCTTCTTGTAGGATTTTTCCACTGAATAATATGTAAATGCTCATCCACTTTATTCATATTTAATTCTTTCATAACTGTTATCATCAATCTAATCTTCACTAATATGACATAAATTATGTAAATTGATTGTAAATATATATTACTACTTTTTCTAGATTGTATGTAGCTTAAAAGAAACTATGAAATAAATGAACCCATTCTATCTACCAAAGCATTTTTCTTGCTTTAATCAAATCTATCAAAATGGGAAAAATTATACAAAATCTTTCACTGAAATCATGATAACAACCAGGTACTCTTAATGAGAATACTTTAAAAGAAATGTTAATTGATAACCAATGTTAATCATAATATATTCCATAAGAAAAGGAAAAACACTTCATACATGAACTATACAGATATTTATACTGCTTGTTTACCTAATAGTTTCTCTGAACTTTTATTTATTACCGCTATGGACATTATTAACCTGTACTTTGAACCAATACTGGTTCATAATTGATAAGTCAGTCGTTTGGGATATAGTCTATTGTCTCAGATGTAGCAAACAATCAGGCATAGTTGAATCAGAGAAAAAAACTATGTTCATAGACACAGCTTAAGCAATTCAAAATAAGTAACGAGTAAATGTGAACAATGAATACTGATATGATGACCAAGGACTTAATTGGCTAGAGTGTGAGTAACTAAACCATTGATTTCTCCCAGTCGTTATGGCATACAACTACATCTTAAGTAGTTATCATGTAACTCAGTCTATTAATTATATTTGTTAGTTATAAATGCGTAAGTGTATGATAATGTAAATGTGTTCACAAAGTTGTTATTTAATCGATGTTAAAAATGTAAATAAACCATATAAGAAGAAGTCTATTCATACACAATTTTGAGTTATATTGAGGATCAAATAAAAACCTATCTATCGCCTTTTGAGTTCTTACTTGCGCTGTTCAACTCATGGTCTTGCTCAAGCTTTCCTGCTTCGTTTTTTACGCCCGGGCAGTATTCCAGCAGTAGAACGGTCTAACCAAAAGAATCTATAACGAACTCTTGTACTATGTTCTATATTTTATTTGTTCATGCACTTGTTAAAAGTACTTTCTAGTCGCAATTATGATCAAAAGATTAACTGAATATATGCATTTTAACCAACCTACGAACAGCGATTGTTATATTAATGGCAGTAATTAAATCGCATTCAAAATGAATAAAACACACCAGCCCGATATATAAGTCTCATTGTTGTTACCAGCTTTCATACATATCCCAAGTTACTAATCCGACACATATACTGGCTCAGGATGGAATAATCCATCAGAGAGTACCAGTTCCCTCAAGATTATAGATAAACCTTGTTAACCAGTTCCAAATCGCACCAAACATATGTTCATGTTTTCCTGTCGACCACCTTCAACCACCTATCAGATGTAATCTGTTTATGGGTAAATCATATCAAAACAAAGTGTAAACCGCATATGAAAAACTTTTTCCAGGAAGATGAATAATTATACCTATGAGACATTAAAAAGAAGAATATATTTGTAAAATCTCAGCGAATGAATTTTAAGTAAATCCAACGTTTCGCCTGGCAATCTGGTCCAAGCTTTTTCAAGGAAAATATAATCAAACAACAAAATTATCGAATATAAATAGGTACAAGGTTCTTCGGTTTACTGTATACTGAATAAGTCATCCAATCAACGTGAAGGATTTCTTCATAAATAAAATGCTTGGACCAGATTGCCAGGAGAAACGTTGGATTTACTTAAAATTCATTCGCTGAGATTTTACAAATATATTCTTCTTTTTAATGTCTCAAATGAACTCGGCGCCCAAATATTGTGAAACTATTCGTTTAAATTTAGACGAACGTTCTTATTTAATTATACTTATGGTTAAAATATACTAACAGACGATAACTAGCTAGTCCAATAAAGAGAGATTGCATACTACGTGATGAACTGGATCAACAATGCATAATTTAGAACAAACGTTACACTACTTACTTCCTTGATACGACTGAGAACCTAAATAGAAACCAAAAAATGAGATTAGAATTAGTCTAATCACATGCTAACTTAAAAGATGAAGAATACATAAGTATATACAGGAGAAAAATAATAATCACAGCACGAATACAATATACAAGGTATTTAACCGAGACAGTTTGAATATGAGTGTTAATTATCAAATAATAGTATATAAATGAGCGAGAATAAGTGGGAGAATTTTAAGAATGATTAGCAGTATTGCTTTTATCCCCTTTCATCACATCAAATCTCTAAGAGATCCTCCGATCGATTTAGAGTGAAAGGATAAAGAACTGATAGACATACACTATACAAGATGAAAGATCATTTGAATGAATTCGGTTGTCAACAAATTCATACTGAAATCTAGTTTAAAAATACATATGGATCTCAATACTTTTGCTAAGAAAATAAGCTGCAGTAAACTAGTTTTTGACACAAGATACTTGTTGGTTACTTTTAGTCCGGAATGATATAACAGATACGTTAGAATACATCTAATTACTCGTAACTGTGTTATTATTCATACTGAGGTAATTGAAATCAAACTACTGAATTGGAAACCAAAAAAAATCTGACTAGTAATTGAACAATATGTTTACAGACTATAAAGTTATAAGTGAAATAGTTTTTACACTAACCTTTCAAACCGGACAAACCACCAGTACGTGATTCAATTAGTTTATCATTCATTTCAACTATACTATTGACTTTATCACTTAGTTGTAAAGCAAGAGCCTGAAGACGTGAACGTTCTGTCTTATGCATTATTAATGCATCACTAGGAACTTCCAAAGAGGCCTATGAATAATAATAATAAACAAGAGTTTAAAAAGTAGAATACTGTCGCAAAATTAACAAAAAAAGAAATTATTTTAAATAAAATACATGTATCGAAGTTATCCAACGATAATATTAGTCTTCTTCTACGACATAATAATCTTGGATACTTCAATTCAATTAACCAGTCTCAAAACAAAAATACGAATTAAAAAGAAACGTTAACATAATTTAATTTAGTTAATCAGTTATATTTCAATTACAATGATTGTACTTTATGAATGCAGTCATTGTCACTAATTAAAATAACGAACTTCATACTCAATAAATCGGTAGTTGTGAAAATTTATTGAAAGTTAGTGAACAAAAGTTCATTTTAAATATCATTTTCAATAATCAAGAGAATCTAAAAATAGGCACTCTTAGTTCTGGCTATCATCAAATAAATATTACTACAGAAAACATGATAAAATGTCATTTAAGATATCAGTAATTGTTGGATATGAATTGTTCAAGTTATACACCCTCACTCATTTATCTATTAATGATGTTACAATAGATGAATATGTCAAACTAAATTTTTCTTCATCATATCCAAAATATAAATGTTACTAAATAAGACTGATGACAACAATCTCAACCAATCAAAATATCATAAAGAGTAAGTATTAACTACTATACATATCATTTACTTAGTTTCAGTATAGTTGAGATTGTACAAGGCTATAAAGGATTTCCTTCAGTAATTGTAGTAATATAAAAATGAGACTTTGCTAATAAAATATGAAATATCTATGTATTGTTTGTTTATTTTAATCTCTACATATTGTCGTTTCTACGTATAGGCGAAATTCTACAAAAAATAAATTACCAGAAGGGGTTTTGTGGAGATTTTAGTAATTTTATAGGTGAATTCATGAGTCGATTAGAGATAGACCACCAAGCAAAATCTATTGTGGGACTGCTCATCAGTGAGCATCCACGGTCCCGCCTCGCGAAATTTGAACCCAGGACTTATCAGTCTCGTGCGCGAACGCTTAACCTCAAGACCACTGAGCCAGCATCCAACAGTGTTAATGTCTAACTTCAACCAATCCACGAAATTGAGCCACCGTCTACCACTGTCTTCGGAGAGTTACTGATAGGTCTTGGGTTCGAATCTCGCGGGGCGGTATTGTGAACACGCACTTCTGAGGAGTCCCGTACTAGGACGAAACGGCCGTCCAGTGATTCCAGGCTTTCCATGATGGTATAGCTTCAATTGACTCATGAATTCAATTGCAAAAAATAAATTGTCAACTCCATAAAAATAAATTTAAAGGTGTTTATTACTAATTGCAAGGATTTTTTTATTCGAGCCGATGGGATGTATATAAAGGCCTAGATTTGAATAATTCACTATAGGCATATTTATTAGGCCAGTTTGGGTGATGAAAACTATCAATTTATACAGCGAATATCAAATTTTATTATGAATTCTTTGTAATATAGGCTTCTTGAACGAATTTTTAGATGATATCCTCGAAACTCCGTATGTTCACAAAGAGTGATTAGTTTATTCTTTAAAATATTGACAATAGGACGCTAAATATCATCATAGCTAATATTAAATATCGTGCCGGTTGAACAAGTGTATATACTGACCCAATATTCTGGTGTATAACATACTGTAGAGTTTGAAGATATGTACACTAGTTTCGAGTTTCAGTGACAGCGGAAACACTAAGATGTAGGCACGTCCAGCTATTGAATTCCAAACAGAGTGTAAGATACGAAATGAATTTCACTATTATGTTAAATAATTTGAAATTTGAGTACCAATTTACTTGCCACCTTACATACATGTTTTATGTTAAAGCCAAACCTGCAGCCCGAGTTTCAGGTCAGTTATTGACTAACATCACTTAGACTAATGACAAATTATTCGATAGAATTTGATCAACAACGGAAGAACTAGAAAGTGACATGATATTGACCATTAACTACTGAATGATCAATCAATTGTAAATGTTTCAGTATTACATATGAGTCGTATTTGGAAAAACTCAGTAATAACTTCTCAGAATGTGAAGCTGGATGACACGAACTTTTCTGCCGACTCTCATCAACTATCTAGCACCAAAATGTGTTGTAGGTGATGTCATCCAGACTGGTAACCACTATGTATTTTAATCAACAGTACTCAATTAACACTAAGGATTAGACGACAAACATCATATTGTTGATTAAAGAGTGATCAAACGATATAAGACAGAAATGGCATAGTGGACCTGTGTTTCATCCTATCTGGGATTCCTCAGCTAGATATACCAATTATTGTGCCAATAGGAAATTCCAACTAATTAATATATACTAATGAAAATTCATCACGTTACACAAGCCAGTGGCTGTCTGGACTCAGTAACCCGATTATGTTTGAAGCGAAGGGTACTGGGTTCGAGTGAACATCAAGTCTCCGGATCTACGTACATCCAGCTGATGAGTTTCAAATAAAACGAAATGCTCGTACTGCATTACACTGCTAGCCACTATCCATTTCTGATTCAAATACTTATGACCTACTAAAACTGTCGAGGCAATCTGCATAGGATGCATATATGTCAAGAAAATAACTGATAAATCCCCATCCTAAACATTAATGTGAAGTTTCAAACAGCTAATACAAATGAATTAAAATTGAATAATATAAAAGTTTATTTGTATTACAATCAGTTGTACCATTTATTTAATTAAATCAATGCTATTTTCTTAAACATTGAAAAGTCATATATCACCGTTAATCACTACTTAAAATGTGAATAAACTTAAAGAAAGAAAAAGGAAGTTAACAAAAACATTCTCTGAGGACACAAATGACAATCAACTCTTTCTTATTACTGAACTTTGAATTTTAGTGATTCATAAGCAAAATAATAATAATAATAGTAATACTACTAATAGTACTAATAATAGTAGTTAGTAACTTACAGCTAATTCTTGATTGATGATCATTCGACAAATAACTGAATAAATTACAGATTTCGGTAATTCAAAACACACAGATAAACGATCTAATGTCATTGAATCATGTATTGCACTAAAAGTGAATAAAAAACTGCGTAATGATTCTTCTTTAATTTTAATTTCTAAATTCTGTTTTACTTTATTCGATTCAAATAATAAATCCCAAATCTAAAAGAAACAATTTTTTATATAAAATTAAAGGTTATTTTATATAAATTAAAATGATAATTAATATAAGTATTATAATTAGAAATGGTTTAAATTATCCAGTTGTTAACATTCTTAAGTGAATTTTATATCAGTCTTTGTTGACATATGTAAGTTTTATGAGGATAATCACGTTGATATTAGCCCTTTTATTCTATGATTAAGAGAAAAAATTGATTATGACTAGCAATGGAATTCAGGATGTGCATTTCATCTCATTTAGGATTCAGCAGCTCGATATGTTTTTGTCCCAGTAATGCTGATACCAGCAAAGATTAACTTAAATTTAGTAAGGAAGACAGACAATGGAATAATTTAAATTCTGTATAATAAGAATATAAACATCGAATTCATCAGATAAGTTAGTGACTATATGGATTTAGAAGCTTAGAAGATAACAAGTTGGGCGTTTGAAACAAAATGTATGGAGTTGGAGATTCGGTATGAACATCAGCATCAAGACACAGGTACATCCACCTGAGTCTGAAATAGAACAAAATTAGTGTCCTGGATTCCATTACAAGCCACAATCCATCTATTTCATAAGAAAGACAATCACACACTTTGATCATGTGTTTACTAGTAACTGGGTTTGGGATGAACTCATGAAGGTCTAGTGAACCTTGTAGAAGCTAATGAAATGCTGAACATGAACAGATATCACCGATGAGAACAGATGATGATGTACACATAACAATATGAATTGGTTGAAGTCAGAAATGTGAACTAGATGATGTTAACTAAATGATCTGAAGGTTGTGAATTAATCGGATCTCATTTCTGGGGATGTGGTCACTTGTTTCCAGAGTATTATTTTTCCTGGGTGGTTCTACTGACAAAGAGTTTCTAATAAGATTTCAGAAAGTGGCAACATTTGCATAGATCTTTTTCCCCATATCAAATTAATTATTACGATTTTGCACTTTTAGGAGTTATTAAGACCACGTAAAATAACAAATGCCTAATTCTATAAGTTATAGTCTAAATCGAGTATGATACTAGTTCAATATATAAATAATAATAAAAGCACAGTCACTGTACTTTCCACAAGATCGTATACTTAAAATCTCTGCCAATGATAAGAGCAACCAAATATACACTGAGTTCTACAGGTATTTCAGTGGATCTCTTAACGGATATTTCGTAAATTAGCCAGCATTCATAAAAGGATTAATCCACCCAAAAAATCATACTGAATTTTTAATATTGTTACAAAATCTATATTTGCAAAGAAACTTGTGCAAATAGTTGAAGGATTTTGTTTGATGTGAGATCGGTCATTTTTATTTGATTAAAAACTTAGATGATGATACACAATAAGTCCGGCTGAATAAAACTGACGTGAATACAGAAATGAAAAAGCTAATACGAACAACGGAAGCTACTTGTAGGAACATTATTTCAGTTATATCAAAGTTTGTAAAACGCTAACGTTTAGTTTTGTCCGTGGCCTATACCATAAACCATAGGATTTTGTTTGATGCATGGTTCATAGCCATACTCTTTTGTTATTTTAAAGTTATTGATTTAAAAGAAACCTTTTGTATTCCTTTTTTTTACCCTAGTGCTTAGTTTAGATATAATTGTTTTTTTCCAACTGTTTTTGCGTTGGGGTTGTGTTAGCCATTTATTTATTCATGCTTCTTTGTGTTAACTTGATTTAGGAATAAATCGAAGTGTTCCAGGTGACTCGTCTTCCTTCTCGCGCACTTGTCGACCAATCAGGTGATAGGACAGTTCTCGTCTCTCTGCCCCAAGTCCGTTTAGTCTTAATTCAGACACATGCGTCACCAGCCTCGAGGTTGAACGAGATAGTGTAATGTGTCAGTCTTAAACTAGATCGAGACAAGTTCAAAGATGTAAAAAAAATCTTACGAAATACCGAGGATTAAACATTTCATCAGTCACGAAATCCGCTTACTTTAGCGTCCATTTTGGGATTAATGATAAAATTAGTACAAGCTTTCCAATTTCCATAACGCATAGCTTTAGCAGCAGCTAGAACATGGTCTCTTGGTGTTTCAGGTGGTCCAACTAATGCAGCACGATCATGAACACGTAAGGCAAGATGAAAAGGTTTGCTGATAGGACGCCAACGTAAATCCGTTTCATGAGCTCAAAAAAGTAACAAACAAAAAATATCAACACAATTTGCATGCATATTTTATTTTTAAACGCATATGCTGAGTGAAAAAATATTAAAAACTTGTGTTATGTACAGTTAGTTACCTGCTAAATTTGGAATTTCCAAAAGCATTGCGGATACCAGATAGACACATTCTATTAGATCAATATTTATATACATATGATATGGCATCTGCAAGGCTTGTTCACGCTTCTCTTCCTCAGTAGTTTTCTCATATCTAGACTGAGTATGAAGACCTTGAGCAAGTAGTTCCCGAATACGATTAGATCCTATCATATCGGCTAAAGCATTATGTGCATCACGAATATGGGACTGACGGAAAGCGCATAAGCCTAATTGAACCATGGCACGGTTATACAGAATCTAAAACAGAGCATTAAACACTTCACTACCAGTATTGATTAAAAATTAATGATTTGTTAAAATATACATACAGATAGGATATACTATTATGTACCGAACTACTGTAGAAAGAACCGACTAGAAATCTTAATGAGGACAATGGTTATTTTTTATTCTAATTATCAATAAGTGAACGGAAATGTAACTATTGAATAAGTTTATCGGATTCTGCTGTTGTTAATATGGATGATAAAATAGTGGAAAATAAATCAGTATTTATGGAATTATTCGATGTACCTTGAGGATAGGCCAAATAACCAATACGGTTTCATATGGAATAGTTTAGAATTCATCATATGATTCAACGTTTTAAAACAAATTGAAAAATCTTTTTTCTAACCAGTAGACCTAGACGATTAAATAATTATCAACTGTACAAATAACTTCTGGATTGATAGATTTTTCACAGTCGTATGTTGATATACTAAACTGTTGACCAGTATACTTGATATGGTTGTTCGGGAAGTTAGATCCCCAGAACTCACTTGGAAAGGGACCTAATTTTGTAATTTTACTTAGAAAATTTGAATTTCTTTGTTTTCGCGCCGAAAACGCTCGTTCCACCTTCATTTCGTATTTCCCACTTGGGGGAATCCTAAATGCTATTGGTCCGTTGTGTCTTTTAGTACGCTATTTTGTAACTCTCTCCAAGGACGGTTTTGTGCTGTATATATACGTTTTGATTTGTGTTTGTTGTGATCGCTCGTTTCTGGCTGTTTGCGGAATATACTTCCCCATTCTAAACTTGAACTTCTTCCTCTGGTTAGCGGGGCTGGGACGCATCGAATAGCTAGCTTTTTGGTCTTTGGTCACCGAGTCTTTGTTCCGTTCGCAGTCTAAGTGAACTCGTAACCGCTTCAAACTTAGCAACAGTGAACCCCAGTCAAAAATCGTCAAATAATAATTCCATGTAACGGCTTTCTTTTCCAATGGATAAAAAATAAACCGCTTGTTTGATTACTTTCCCAAGGGACAGATACGTTCACAGATAAGTGAGTGTATATACGATCGATTTGATCCAGTCAAATAAACTCTAGTTCTTACTCTCCATCTTTTCTCCCAAATAGCCAGATTCATACATAGAAAGATGCCGAACACCGTGTCACAAAAATAACCACCCTTTATATAGTAGTTATATCGAACAACAGACTTCATTAGATAATCTCAGTATAGGCTGTACACTTATGAGATGAAAGATATTCAACATAAAATATTTACTAAAGCCTAATTCAATTACAGAGTATTTTAAGCACGTATGCTGACTGACATTGTTTAACAATTTTCTCAATTATAATACATGTTCCGCTGACATTACAAAACCAATAGTAAATGTAAATGTTAAGCATTTTAAAAAGAACTTACCATGGTTGACTGATCAGCATGTTCAATTGACATTTGCAAATCAGACATAAGCATCAAGTCACGAGCTTTGAACCATTGATTATAAAGAGCTAAATGATAAATATGACAGAGAATAGCTCTAGTACGTAGTCTATCTGTTCGATCGTTTAAATAAATAAATTCGCATAGTTTTTGAATAACCAAAGTGTTAGGATGAAGTCCAACTTCTTCCATACTGGAAGCTTCCACTTTGCGACCCCATTCAAAATCAAACTGTAACAACAACAAAAACAACAGTATCGAGTCAGAAATAAAATACAGGACAGGAAACTAAATACACTAATAACACAAAGAGTGAAATTAGCCTACTATAAATGTATGAGAAGCCAGCTCCTATAATTTCGTTTCTTTCCTGTACTTCATTGATGAGTTATCAACTAAATGTTCTACTAATAGTTAATAAACTTGTTCTCTGTCCCATTACATTGAACTAGTCATTTATATGCTCTTTTAAAGTGAGACTTCCTTGTTGTTATTGACTTGAATGAGAAGCTCTTTTAACCTAAGCTAATTATCACTAATCGTGGAACCATTATATATATATATATTACTTACGCCTGTTACCCCTTGTGGAGGAGCATAGGCCGCCCACCAGAACTCTCCATCCAACCATGTCCTGGAAGTTTCTTCTCATATCTGCTTCCAATTCTCGGCGCATTGTTTTTCGGCCTTTCTTTTTTCCGTTTCCTTTCAGCACTCTAAATAAGCGCTTGCATCGTGGTGCAGTTTGGTGATTTCTGCAATGTATGTGGTATCCACTTCCAACGTATTTTACGGCTGCGAAACGCGACCATTATCATCTAATAATGAGGTTAGACGCAGGGTATTAGGGAATGATGGTAAATCAGTTAATGAGGTTGTGAATCTTCATCGACTGAGATGGTTGGGCCACGTGTTGCGTATGCCTGAACACCGATTGCCACGACATGCAATGCTAACCGGTGTTGGGCATGGTTGTAAGAAAGTTAGGCGCAGACAAACCAAAACGTGGCATCAGTCATTGGAGCCTTAGCCAGGTTGGTGGATGCAGATTACTTGGTTGGGGTCCGCAGGACTATCGTAACCAATGGTTGGAGACTATGGATAACATGGCCCAGAAATGATCACAATGACGTTGGTGTTTACACTCTTAGTCTTCCCTTAAATCGTGAGATTAAAATTCCCTTATATCTTTTTTTCTACAAACTAATTCATCCTTCCTGTACTATATCCTTATATGCAATCCTTCTTTTATATATTACCACCATTGAATTAATTACTTCTATGAATTCGGTGTTCATCTAATTGTGCTAATGAGGTATGGCAACTTGGACCGATGCATGTATGTGCTTGGTCATACGTTGTAGCTGACTGACTGACTGATTGAACGTCTTTTCCTAATTTTCCCCTCAGCTGGAAGCTGGTTTGTCCTCTCCCCTACTAGGCTGTTGCTGATGCTATCCGGTCAACGGATATTGAGTATCTTGCGTAGACAACTGTTCATAAATATTTGTACATGTTTGATAATGGTTGTAGTAGTTCTCCACGTTTCTGCTTCATATGATATAACTAACTGTTTTGATGTTCTTATTGAAGATTATGACTTTTATGTTGGCTGACAGCTTTTAGTTCCATATATTCTTCAACTATAGGAATGTTGTCCTTGCTCTTCCAATCATCGCCTATACGTCTCCATCAGATCATCCACGGTCATCGGATATACTACCCAGACACGTGAAACTTTTCCCCCTTCCAGAGTTTCTCCATCAAGTGTGATTGCGTTGGTGTTCCCTATGTTATATTTGAGGATCTTGCTTTTTCCTTTGTGTATGTTGAGGCCTACTTCTGTAGACGCTACTGATACTAGTGGTCTTCAGCAGCATTTGTTCGTGTGTATGGGAGAGAAGGATCAGGTCATCTGCGAAGTTCGAATCTTCTAGTTGATTCCGAGATGTCCATTGTATTCTGTGCTTCCTGTCAGATGTCGAGGTTTTCATAATCCAGTCGACCACCAGAAGAGGAAGCGGGAGAGTTAACAGACTTGTCTGACTCCGGTCTTCACTAGGAATGAATCTGTCAGCTGTTCTCCACGCACGAATTCGCAGTGTAGTACGTCGTATAAATTCCAGATGTTGACGCTCTTCTCAGGTACATCATAGTGTCGAAGAATGTTCCACAAGGTCCTACTGTCCACGCTGTCAAAAGCCTTCCCATAGTCAATGAAGTTGATGTATAGTGTTGAGTTCCACTCAACTGATTGTTCAACGATGATCCATAGCGTCGTAATTTGGTCTGTGCACGACCGATCATTACGGAGTCCAGCCTGTTGATCTCGAAGTTGAGCGTCTAGTGAGTCTTTCATCCGATTCACCAACACTGTTAAAAACCTTTCCTGGTACTGACAGTAAGGTGATGCCTCTGTAGTTTTCACATTTGCTCAAATCTCCTTTCTTTGGCATCTTGATGAGGTGTTCTTCTTTCCAGTCTGTCTGTGGCACTTGCTCTTCCTCCCAAATCTTCCTGAATAGAACGAGAAGCATACATGCAGTTGCTTCTATGTTTGACTTCAGTGCTTCAGCTAGTATGTTGTCAGATTTGGTCGCTTTCCTGCTCTTGATCTGTCTGATGGCCATCCTGATTTCTTCCGTCTTTGGTGGAGTGGCATATATAAGGTCTGTAAGGGCTGCTTCAATGTCCGGTTGGTTTAATGGAGGCAGGTATATTCAGAACTCCCTCGAAGTATTCCTTCAATCTGTTCGTCTGTTCTTGATATATATATATATATATATATATATATATATATATATATATAGCGTGCCTTATACCAGTTTCTAGATTTACCGAAACAACGGATGCGAGAGTTGATTAAGTCAGAAAACTATTCATGACTCTCGTAATATTTATAGATGAAAATATATGAATAACAGGTGACTTTACAACAAATAATTAATCTTTAGGTGTCAATACCAAGGTTTGAAAGTTGATAAATTCAAATGAATTAAGCATCAAATAGAAAGTTAATGGTAAAATAACGATATATTTGTGATATCACATTGAGTAGAAGTTCGAATTTTTTGAAAACTCGTGACTTAATGTTACCCACTTTTTTAGGGTGAGTAAATAAATAACCGAATTAAATTAATACAACTTTAAATAGTACAAACGAAAAAGGCTGAATATTCAATGCAATCATAATCAAAAAATAATCCGTCTATGTTGAAGTCACATTGCAGATAGTGAACACAATAGCAACAGCATTCAAGTCCCAACGTGTAACAACACAAAAATTACCGATTTAACATGACCGACTATGTAATCTGCCATTAAGAAAACAGTTTGTTTAACCGATGAAACACAAAGCGAATAAATTCTAGTTACTGGCAAGTAGTATAGTTATAACAAGCCAGTTTTCTACCAGTGAATCTACATAAGGGTTGCTAATCTACATACTACAGATCATGTTAGTTAACAACGATCGCCCAATCAAGATTATTTGTAGTAAACAAAGTAATAAAAGGCAGTTTGAATCTACAAAAGTTCAAATTTAATCTTTAGTAGTGAAAAAAAGTACTTATCCTCACTTTATAGTACATGTGTTCCAGTTTATGAAGATAAGCAGCACAGAGTGCATCTGAAGGATATTCTTTCTTTTCCAGATAGGCACATAAACGATCAATAATATTACAGACTCTTCGTTCATCTCGAAGTCTATACAATTTAAAATACAAAGAAAGGACAACGATATTACTTTATTACGAATGCGAAAAAATTCAAGAGTAAAGGATAAAATTATGTCACAAATACCTGAACAATAAATTTGATAAATGAAATTAAGAATATTCATAACAGACAAATCGTATTATTGCATCATATTGTTATGACAATGAAGCGGTAGGTTCAATCCATTATTTTACAGTGGTCGTCAAAATTCTCTTTTTAAGTTTTTTGACATATGTTTATCCTCTGATATTTGTCAAGTGAACAATCTTTTGTATTTCCACTTTAAAATTAAGCTCGAAGAAAGCTAGAGGAGTCACGACATGGAATCAGTTCATGAAGATATTGACTGTTGGACTGAGGCATGTATATATAGATCTAGAATACCCGGTCGGAGTCCACTTGATTATAGTAGTCAACGGTTGAAGACCTTGAATAACATGGTAAGAAATCGTTTGCAGTGGTGCAGGTCCATTCACCCTTTATCTACCGCCTAAGAACTAAGTCCTGAAATCCACTTAAATCTATTTTTATCATCTTTTCCACTACCGCTGATACAGTTAGTACTTCGATTACCTTGAGATTACTCTTAATAATAATATCTTGCTGTGCTAATATAGGATGGGGACTTGAACCGATCCGCATCGGTTAAATTCTATTTCGCACATGACTGATTGATTTCCACCGTATACGCTACCTTTATTTATGTCACCCCTTGAATACTACATAACTTTCGAAAACGTTTTCCGACTAGATTTTAGTATCTTTGTATGTACTGTAACAACATTCCAATTTATTACAGACTACGTAATGTGTAAATTAACCGAATACAGTTGTCTCGAGTGCTGTTAGAGGTATGAGGGTGGTTTTCACGTCCCGGTTGCTCACACCGTGGAAGGGTTCTTCTAGAGGTACCTGAAAAGTAAATTGGGTTAGAGGTGGTCTTGGCGACCTGAGACCGCAACCGCAGTGCCCGAACGAACACTGCTTGAGGTCTGTCACACACGACTTTTCTGTGGGTAATTTTTGTGTTGGCTCCGTACTTGTCGGGACCTTACCGACGGAGACGGAAATCCGTGGGATAAGGCGAGGTGTGCATTTTTCTGAGTCGATCTTTCCTAACTCTACCCTTCCTTGTAGGAAGGCAGCATCGCTGTTATGCTGGTTGTTTGAGGGAAAAACCTATTGCAATCACACCTCTGTACTGTCAGCAGTACGACTTCACCCTCGGACCTTGGGTACTGTTGCACAGTTTTTAAAACATGACGTGAAAAACAAGTAATTTACTACGCTAAACTAAAAGTATAGACAATAAGATTATGTATAATATTTAACATTGAACATTTATAAAGTAATTCGTTGCCAATAGAATAATATATTAAAATACTGTGAAACACTGCTCCTAGACTATTTAAGAATTTAAAAATTACCATTCAGAAATTTTATCAAATTCTATTTCTTCATCCAATTTGTACATTTTAATTTTCAATAGACATTAATCGGTATAAGGGAAAGTCGTCATCGCCCTAGCCTGTGCTTCATGTGATAGCGAAGATTTTAATTAATCAGGGAGTGAGTGACCTACAAAAATAATATTGTCCGGTCACGTTTGTGACAACTGATCAGTTTCTGTTAACATCTTTATATATAGGGACACTGTGGTGCGTGCTACTTATATTGATATAAGTAGTATATTGTGCGAGTCAGGAATGTAATGTCTGCCAGTAGAAGATGAGGGAAGATCAAGAAAGCAAGAGCGGGAATATAATGCAATTTGTATGAAAATGTAAGAACAATGAAGTCTGAGGCATTTTGAGACAATTGGTGGACATTCGGTTGTCCCCACCCGTGTTTTGTTCACTACAACACAAAGAAATGGTCTGAGAATAAATACAAATACATTTATTTACTAAACTAAGTAGTCTGTCTCATAGGTATGAAAATCAGATCGACAGAGTGAATATCAAAGTAACTAAAAATAAAAAAATACACTGAAAAACCAATCACTTGACGTCATCAAATTACTTTAAGAAACCGTGACTGGTGTAAATGAATACAGTATAATAAACATTTCCTAAGATAACTTTTTGCGAACTGTTGAAAAGAGAGAAAATTGAATTACCTTTCAACATATTCTGATTCATGGCCGTTGGCATTTTGCAGAACTTTGAAACATTCAACATCTAAAAGACCCACCACAGTCAGAATAGATGCTTTGATACTGTACGGTTCATGCTATTATTTTTGAGGGATTAAGAAAAATAATAACAATCGAATACATGTAATGAAATCATTTCAGTTTTCGTCGCAGAATGAATATTTTATTCGGCACCATTAAAAACTTTATCTTAGGCTGGGTCACAAATTCGGAAATCATAACATTCATAGTTTTTAACACTATACGAATTTAGATTCGAGTTAGAATTATATGATTCATACTATTTCAAAATGTAACCAATTTCAGCTGTAGCTTGTGTGAAATCGACATCGTTGGGACTCGGATAGATATTGATTAGTATCGATGGATGATGATGGCAGTGTACATAAAAGTAACTGTAGCTTAAAAATGTGGATCAATAGACTTTTAAATTGCGAGATGTTGTAAATCTGAAAGGTCCTCCGTTTAGTCTTGTGTGTGAAAGTGTTTGTTACTGAAAAGTCCCAAAGTATGACGAAGAAGTATAGTACTTCGCTGTTTTCGATAGTTTCTTAGCTAGTATCAGTGTATAATGGTGGCGCAGTGGGGCTAGGATGTTGGTTTTTAGCCAACAAGTCACCATTTCGAACACAGCTCTATCTACCTTGATTAGAACAACCGGGTAGTATCGCTAGCCCCACATTTAGAGCGTAGCTCAAAGCCAAATATATGAATCTGTACCTGTACCCTGTAACAATTCTTTTTTAATTTAAAACGGTCTAACGAATACGAAGTTAAATTACCCTCATTTACTTTGATTAATATACTTAGCAATACTGTATTCTAATTTCTCATAAATTTACCCATCCTAAAGTTCAATAAGAGAATCTCTAAAGCAGAGCTACATCGTATGAACAAAAAATTGTCGGTATAATTTTAACTGATTCAGTCAATGTTTCTAAAAAGCAATTCAGAAGAGACGGGTCAGTTTATTACATTACACAATGGTGTGAAAATGCGCTATATAGAACTATATCTATTAGTCTATCAAGATTCCTGGATTGGGGTCCCAGAAATGGCGAAACTTAGTGGCTAGAGATTTTGCCAGACAAGGCTCAGAATGGAAGCCAATGGTAGTCCTGTTGTGATTTTCCAGTACTTTCTTCATAAAAGCGATATGAATTTACCTGAACGAAAAGAAAACTCTTTCTTGGTTGTATTTTGAACTTGTAGGAAGTAATTACCTAGACTATTGAACACAGAGTCTTAGCTTGGCCAAAGTCAAAACAAGTTTGATAAACTTCATCTGTTAAGAACAATAACTGCAGCACAGAAAAAAAATGATTCAACAAAAATTAATATCGTTTATGACAAACATGGGCGATTGTGATCGGTGAATAAACAATGCATAGTCATACAAGATCGAACAGAGTTAAGGTGATAGTGGGCATTTAACTCTGCCATTATTGGTTAATTCGTTTATCGATCACCCCTTACAAAACTGGACAATATTTTCTATTATATAATGATTATCATTAATTTTATTTTTTTATTTTTGGTTGTAACTCCCTCCTGTTTTTACCTTATTTCTTTACAATTTCATATCCTTATTTGTTTGGCGCATAATAGATTTTGGGGTATTAAATAAAAAAATTTCAGAAAAAAATTGACTTTCATATTAGAACTTTAAAGTTTAGATGTTGCAAATACAATTAAACAAAATACATCAAAACGTACCTCAAATGATTCATCATCATTAGAATCTAATGCAATCAATTGAATATTTACTTCATTTAACAGATCAAATAAACGATCGAATGCATTAAGAGTTCTAAAAATTCAGAAGAAAAGTAGGCGTATATGAACAAACAAGAAATGAAGACAATTAGTTTGTTCAAATTATTGTTGCTTATTTAACCAACACAGTTTTATAAACAGGGAGGGGAATATATCTTTACATAATGACGACATTCAAGAATCGGCACATAAATAACTTTGATTTGATTGATAGTCTATTAATGATAGGAGTCTTTATGAATGTCTCTCAAACTATTGCTAGTCAATATTTAAAAGATACTAAACTTATTGCGGAAAACAGCAAGTTAGCAGTCGGGTTAATCAGTTCTGTTCAAAATTCTTAAGTTACAAATTCTGTTAAATTCACCATAATCTAGCTTGTTGATTTGGATATGTCAGGTGGAAATGATCTGTGATTGGTTAGTGGGCAGACAGACAAGAACTAAGCATACAGACTATTGTTAAAAGACGGATTTCACTGTATGGTGCTATACTTTACTCTGGATTTTACAATGTATTAATATAGTTATTTCAGCTCATGATATCTTGTTTTCAGTGGCTAATCGCAATTGTATATTTATGTATCACACAATCCGGTGTAGAGGTCTTGTAGAGCAAACCATTGGGCAGAAAGTACGATTATTTAGTGAAACTACAAAATGTTGGTGCAATATGTACACCTAGTTATCAGTCATCCCTTTGAATCATGTTGTGTATTTTGTAATCTAAGTTGGTTTTAGACTGTTTTTTCCTTTCATTTCCGAACTAATTGTTCTGCATACACCGTGCTTTTTGATCTCCTAGAACTCTTCACTTCGGCCGTCAACTGTAGCAACCTCCACGCGACTTTCTGCCGCATACTACGCATAAACAATCTTCTAAGTAAACTTCACTGTAGTCTAATCGTCTAGTGCATCAAGTTGTAGTATCCCGCATGGTGTATCGATCGAGTGATTAATTTACTATCTAGTCTAGTGTTATTGTATTACCGTATTACACAACGGATTTTTAGGCGAAATAATCTTTAGTAACAAATTTCTAGTATCAATGCTTTTTAAGTTGAAGTAAAAGGTTTCTAACGAACAAATTTTGGATTTGACCTTACATCATTCATCTACTTTGCTGTGAGCAGCTGAATAGTGACGAATTATGAACTTTCACAAAATGCGCGGATGAAAGAGCTGAATAAATTAGCTTGTACTCAGTAATTAATTCACAGTTGTATTACAAACCCATAAAAACTATTCAAATAGCGTCTTTATCTTATTGTGCTAACAAAAAATAGACTGAAAGCATACCGGTCGAATAAGCTGGAGTTCATACAATCATGCTTTTTGTCATAATCGAACAGTACGCTAATAAAAGCGAATAGTACTTTAGCGTGTAAGCCATGAGATAGATTACACTCCTCTGCAAAGAAAGCAAATGAAAAGAAATATGGAGAACAGTGGTTTTAACATGAAAAAAAAAAAACAAAGACAACAATGTAAGTGTTAAATCTAACTAAATTAAACATTGAGTGCAATATTATGTGTGAAAAAGTTTGTATCTTAGAGGAAAGTCAGATGAGAATAAAATTAGTTTTCTTTTTATTATCATTTCGTAAGTGTTAACCCGAAAGAGAGAACTATATTTTGGTTTACCAAGAACCACAATCATTACTTTAATCCAGAAATGATATACAATTCGAATCGTTTCTGATAAGAGTATGATTTCATACTGGTGATCGATTGACCTCTTTTATGTGTGTTTATACATTGTCTATATCAATGTGTTTGGTGACCGTCAATCCCGATATTTTCGAATAACTCCAAAATTAAAGGACAAAAGGACTTTAAGATCTTTTTTAAAGCCTTTTTACGTTTATTGGCATGACTTTACAATAAAAAGACTGCAAAACATTATTACAGACTTGCTAATTACTAGTAAATTTGAATGCATAGCAAATGTTTTCAATGCAGTAGTATTATGCATAGAATTTCATAAAACTGAAAAAAAACACTTTCTAAATACCTCTTCGGGAGAACAAAATAGACTTACACATTTTATACAATAGACTGACTACATGAAAAACATAAATCAACTATAACACTATTGGTGATTGTTAGAGTCATAGTGTTGCTGATACTTTGGGTTGAAAATTGTTGAGAAACCTAGACTAATAATAATATAAACATCATAACTGTTGAGGAGTTCCAGAAAACTCCTCGAAGAAAGCCAAGAAAGGCTCTGAAAACACGGAGAAACATCTTATCCAATCAGCGTTTACTAGAAGTTTTGCCAGAAACATCTAGAAGTTGGAAATTCACATTTCGAGTTTCTGATTGGATTATTACTATACTGCTATTATGTTCGGTAGCATTCTAGAATTTTCGGGAAAACCCAAGGACATCTAAAATATTATAAAAACCCTATATTTTCTGTAAATAAATGAACCTTCGGAGTAAAGTTTTTCTTGCATATTTTGAGCCTTTTCTCTCGTGTTCAAGTCGCTGTGTAGTTTTAGTTTGGGGGTTACTAGAAGAGCTTAGAAACCGAATATAGTGTTCAATTAGCAAGACTTATCAATAACCATTAAGCTATTTAATGATTATATGAGCTCAGTAGCTCGGTGGATGATAAGTTAGTATATGAACTGAGAGGCACTAGGTTTGAGTTTCAATGTGAACATTGGCACTAGGATCTAAATATATCCAACTGACAATCACTGGCTAGAACGAAACGCGCATCCTCGATTCTAACAATAGATACAATCTATCTATTCTAACCATATTAACTACTGCACGTCAGTAGGAAACTCACTACCGGTTGTTTTTGAAGAAAAATGTATGGTGAAAAAACAACCTGTCTAAAGACTTACTAATTTTTTCTTCAACTTGCATAAGTAACACAATTTGATCACTGGTACTTGCACCTTTTTTACCACGACTTGCCAAAATTTCTGTCATTTTCTTAACTACAACATCAAAATTAATTTCTTGTCCTTTTTCAAAGGCTTGAACTTGAATTTCCGGTCGTCCGTAAGAATCAATTGTAGTCCATGTTCCATCTTCTATATCAGATGAAGCTCTTAATTGTTTTTTAGTTGATCGATCTTTTGCAATTTTCTTAATTTTCGTTTTATCCTAATAAATAATAAGCAGGATCATTCTTAGAGTATTAGCGATGTGATACAATTCAACAAGATTATCGCAAATTAAAATAAAAAATTAGGTTTGAAATAAAGAGTTCCGTGATTCCAGTCAATTTATAACCGAACTGACTGATATAATTAATTTCACTTAAAGCAATCGAATTAAATAAACACCCACAATTTGTTTTCATTTTCCACGGGTTTAACTAATCAAACATATAGTGGTTCAATTAATGACATTAAGTAACACTGAGTTATTCATCATAACAGTACTATTGGAAAGAGTAGGTTCTTCAGAAGAAAAACGTTCTTAAATTAAGTTATTAGAGTTCGTAATGCTACGCCAGTGTTTATGATCAATGGCCTATTTGATTATCTAATAACATAGGTAGTAACCTAAAGAATATAACCAGTTTCGTTCATATGTATATTTTGCCTGATTCACACTTCAAATAATCACAATGTATGCATATTAGTTGCAAATAAATGAACACTTGATATATGTATTGCGCGCTCTCATGACTTTCTATGATCACATCGTATATGATTCTTTGGTATCAAATTAATTTGCCTAAGACCACGACATGTAATGCCAGCAACTCACGAATCATATAAATTACAACATTAAAAACCAAAACTCCAATACAATAAAAAGGATAAATGTATTGAAAAGGGTATTTAAAATATCTACTTGAAACCATCATCTTACCTTTTTATCATCCGAAGTACTTTTTAAAAAGTATACCGAAGGATCTTTACAACGATCCAAATTGATATCAATACTGCTAGTACTTGAACTATCATCATCAGAAAAATCATCACTATCACTATCATCCATATCATCGTCATCATCCTCTGAATCAGATGCAATCGACTTTCGTGTTGATTTCTTGACAGTGGAAGTAGGTAAAGTTCCAGGAACCTAGTAAAGAGAAAATGATAGCAGCAAATAGGCAACCTGATACAATCTGAGTGCTCAGAACACTGAATCATTGATTTACAATGATAGTTTGGGAAAAAACTGAAAATATACTTGCCTTTATCGGTGAAGGAGCTGTTTCCTGTTCATCAGCTTCGGTATCTGAAGCATAAAAATAAGTGAACTACGTCAAAAAAAACGATGAAAATACCAGAAATCCCAGGTTCTTCATCTACATAATTTTCTGAATTCTGAACATATACAGCATGAGTTTTATAATAAATAAACCTACTTCACGAAAGTCGCGAATATTTGCTTCAAATAGTCGTGTATATTTCTTCACACGTTGTTTTAACGTGGCAAGTGATTTAACTGCACTCTTGTTCATCTCTTTTTTCTTTTCCCACGAATCGTTAACAAAATCTTCAAGCTCTGCTATGCAGCGAACATAAAACGGTGGCACTCCATCGAAATCATTCATTTGAACAGATTTCTCGTACACTTTTACCAAATTTTGAAAATCTGTATTCATTTAGATCAAAAAGCGTTTAAATATATCATTCTTTTTATATACCAATGATTACATTTGACATATCCTTAATTTTCTTATGATTGTTCAAGTTCTTTATTATACTTTGCATTTCTTCACATCTGTGGATTGGTTCACATTAAAAACAACTAGTGTATTGACATACCGTTTATTCCGACCACTTTTAACAATACGTTTAATATCTTCTTCATCACTAGACAAATGTAAAGGGCGTGACTCGATACGTCTGACTGGCTCCTCTTCCCGATCACTATCAGAAGAACTGAATATATCTGCATACATTCTTCAAACTACATACATAGGGAGTAGAGAAATAGTGTAAATAATTTGATTAAGTAGTAAGTTAGTGAGTGAAATTCGAACAGAATAAAACTAAAACCCAATAATGCAATTCAGTACCATGTATAGTGTTGAATCACACCTATTGTCACTTGTTCGCAGTCTAACCAACACAAAATAAAGTGAGTCCTATTAAAATACTATCCGAAATCCTACAAAGTACTATGGATCGATACTAATTTATTGTAAACGAATTAAAAGTACAGTTATTTTGCTAGCAAAGACACAAGAACTTGAGTAGAACTTTTACCAATCAAGTCTAACAAGCACATTGATTAACGTCTAAAGCTATGTCCAGGCAACCGTTAGTTTCTAATAAGTACCGACTTCAGGTACAAAGAGAGCCACTATTTGACCTGGGGACTTCTAGCATCTAGATAAAGGGGGTATAATCCACAGTGCTATCAGCCCTTGATGAACATAGTCAAGAATTAGCCGTCGTTGCACCTTGACCTCAACTCTGCGACTAACTTGGTTCACCATCTGGACAAAAGATTATATCAACCTGTTGGAGGTTCTGTATTCAAACACTTTTGGTTGTATCAGATCATATGGTAAATTGACATTTGAGTTGATTTTGTCGGCTATTGTTTGGCGGATTTTTTTTTATTATCTATTCTTTCATTTAATAGTTACCATAGATATCCTCCTTCTTACTCTTATGGTCTGCTTTCAAACCATCGAAAAATGGCAGTAATGTTTGAAGCTGAAAAACCTGTTTTTAAACACAAAACTGACTAGACAAAAATGTCCGAAATGTGTTCAAGTGAAAAAAAGTAAATCTAGTAAAGTGACTTTATACTGATTTCGACAAAGGGATCAAAAACGTTAATGGCGTTAACCAACGTTTGTCATGAGAGTATAATCAGCGATGGTAAACTAGTGGTAGACTAAATTTAAAACAATTAGTCCCTTTGATAAATTTCGATAATGCAACAAGACGAAGGTTATCAGAATTATGTGATATATTTGCGCAAGACATTTCGAACAATCTGATTATACATATACGTGTTAAAAACATTTATATATGAGAGTTCATCATTTGTGTGTGGGCTGTGATACTGCCTGGGTGCCCAGACCGAAACAGGTGATTTCTTCAGGGGACCACACCCCGAGCCTTTGACCTAAAGGTCTAACACACAAGGCAGTGGAGCATCGTAAGGAGATGCAATCCCATGGTAGCCGGTGACCAACGATTGGTTCATACGCCATTTGTTCCCGCAGGATGCTGGAGTTCATGTGCACCATTGGTTTGTGATCCGGTTAAAGCGCCGGACATTCGCTTTTCGTCCTCTCATTTTCGTAAACAACACCCCCACCACGAGAAGGCAATGAGTAGGACTTCGCTGGCAGAGGCTGTACACGCGCGGCCGTGTGAGAGTATTTCGAGAGGGAGAGCGGACTCTCCCCACTCTCGGCCGTACCAGAACATTCGGGGGCTTACCTGTAATCTTGAGGGAACTGGTGCTCCCTGGCGGACTCGATCTCGTGTCACATTTGTTGTTTACAAAGGTTTGGGAACTAGAGAGTGTACCAACGTCATGGAATGAGTCGATAGTTGTCCCTATCTTTAAAAAGGGTTCACGTCGTTCCTGTAACAACTATCGGGGGATAAGTCTACTTCCGATTGCGTCCAAGCTATTGGCTTCCGTCATACTTCCTAGGTTGTTCAAAACCCGAGAAAGATTGACTCGCGAGGAGCAGGCTGGGTTTCGTTCTGGTCGAGGATGTATTGATCATATCTTCACCCTCCGCCAAATGTTAGAACACCGTCATACTTATCAAAGGTCAACAATCGCAGTGTTTCTTGACATCAGGGCTGCCTTCGATTCGTTGGACAGGACTGTTCTCTGGGATTGTCTATTGAAGAAGGGTGTGCCTGAGAAGTTTATTAACATCCTAAAAGCCCTATATAAAAACGCCTCAGGCAGAGTGAGGGCATGCAACCACCTCTCTCCATTGTTCCATTCGAGCAGTGGGATTAGACAGGGTTGCCCAATCTCACCATTCCTCTCCAACTTTGCCATCGATGACATTCTGGAAACAGCTCTGATGAATGTAAGTAATGGTGGTGTGGATCTGTTGCCTGGAGAAAGACTTATCGACCTTGAGTATGCGGACGATATTGTCTTACTGTGTGATAATGCCCAAGGCATGCAATCCGCACTTAATCAGTTGGCGATCAGTGTCCGTAGGTATGGTATGTGCTTTGCACCTTTGAAGTGCAAAGTACTTCTACAAGACTGGCAGGATTCTAATCCTGTACTCACCCTGGATGGTGAGCAGATAGAAGTAGTCGAGAGGTTAGTGTATCTGGGTAGCTGCATAAGTGCTGGTGGGGGTGTGAGTGATGAGATCAATGCACGAATAGTGAAAGCCAGAGTGGCTTATGCCAATCTGGGCCACCCTTGGCGCCTTCGTGATGTTAGTCTGGCTGTAAGAGGTCGGATTTACAACGCGTCGGTGAGAGCAGTTTTGCTCTATGCTTGTGAAACCTGGCCTCTCCGAGTTGAGGACGTGAGACGACTCTCTGTGTTCGATCATCGCTGTCTCCGAAGGATTGCTGACATTCAGTAGCAACACCATGTCAGTAATGCAGAGGTTCGGCATCGTGTGTTCAGGCACAGAGATGATAATTCAATCGGTGTCACCATCTTGAAACACCGACTTCGGTGGCTTGGACATGTTCTCCGAATGTCGTCCCAGAGAATTCCACGTCGTGCATTATTTGCCGACTTTGGGACTGGTTGGAAGAAGCGGAGAGGTGGTCAGTGCATGACATGGTGTCGTGGTATGAAAGAAAGCTGCAAAGGACTGGCTTCTGTCGGTCCTTCACGACTCCCCGGTTGGGGTCTGAGAGATGGTGCTACATAGTGGCTAGAGACGTTATCAGATATGGCTCAGAATAGAAGCCAGTGGCGATCCTACTGTAACCTTCTTTTACTTTCTTCATAAAAAGTGGTTGTGTCTCCCTTACCTGAAAGATTTCTTCTGATTGTACCTTTTCGTTCCGTCGTTACTACCACACTACCTTACTCCAATCTCTTCGTCATTGTTCTCTTTTTCTTTTGCGCTCCTTAGCTTTGTTTCTATTTCTCTTCGAATTCTCACTGTTTTGTGTGGCGCATATATATTGGCGCTCTCTTGTACCAATATTCATGTGTTCAAATAAATAAATAAATAAACTTATATATGAAAATTGCCCCCAAATGCCTTGGTATGGCCGAGAGTGGGGTGGGTCCGCTCTCCCTCTTGAAATGCTCTCACACGGCCACGCGTATACAGCCTCTGCCAGCGAAGTCCTACTCATTGCCTTCTCGTGGTGGGGGTGTTGTTTACGAAAATGAGAGGACGAAAAGCGAATGTCCGGCGCTTTAACCGGATCACAAACCAATGGTGCACATGAACTCCAGCATCCTGCGGGAACAAATGGCGTATGAACCAATCGTTGGTCACCGGCTACCATGGGATTGCATCTCCTTACGATGCTCCACTGCCTTGTGTGTTAGACCTTTAGGTCAAAGGCTCGGGGTGTGGTCCCCTGAAGAAATCACCTGTTTCGGTCTGGGCACCCAGGCAGTATCACAGCCCACACACACAAATATGGCGTGGCGCATATATATTTGGTGCCCTCTTGTACCAATATTTATGTGTTGAATTAAAAGGAATATATGAAAATTAAAAAGTCAACTATACAGGTTAAAGGTAAGCCATAACAAAGAAAAAATATATAATATTAAAGTACACAAAAACAAATGTGATTACCACTCTCGATAATAAATCAGTGCTACTTGGGTGGATTATGTGTAAGTGCAAATTGTTTTTGAACGCATAAAGGTGGTTTAAATTTCCGTATAGCCAAGGCTTCAATAAACCTTAGTATGTCCTTGAAGGCTTTTGTATAGCACTACGAGTGCTGACCTGATGTCAACATTATGATCAGTTTCAATCAAATGTTTCGCAATGGAGGATGATGTCTGTCTATCCTGTGATCTTATTTGACCATTGGAATCCAAATTTTGGGGTAGGTAAGAATGTCGACCAGATATAAAAATGTGAGTTTAGTGTGCAGCAACTCGTTTTGTAGTCTATAACTGCAAAATGTGGGCAGTTAAGATAGGAAATGTGTGAGTTTTTGTACTGTACTCGCGAATGGTGGAACCTTTAAGAGAATAATTATGGGGTTAATATAGGGTACTAGGTAGAGGCGATAAAGTGGTTATTAACCAAGGCTGTGCAGACAAGAACTACATGTTTAGCGACCATCTGATTATACGCGTAAAGTTAGCTGACAAAGGAATGGGTAGATCACTGCCTCAAATTATTTTACAAAGTCACTTGATGCCAGTATGAAGCATCAATATGTTTAAAATACCTTGTCAGGATTCGCATGTTAATCATAATTGGTGTTCGAATACCTTTAGTGAAATGGTACCAAAACCAATAGCAACGATTCAGTTACGTTTACTTTTTTTCTTCCTTTAATGCTTGAGTTGTCACTCCACATTTCCTTTAAGCTCAATCACTTCCTGGTTTTTCAATGCCGTTAATATCATTTCTACCACTTTCTTTTTATTCTCGTCAGCTTTATCTCACTGAAGTGTGGTGTACTAATATACTGGTATCAGGCCACATATTGCCTTTGATTGAATAAAGAATTCAGAAGAATGTTGAATTCTGATAGCTGGAATTTAATTACTTAGATCATTGGGGTTATTCAAAAGGGATTATAGAAGACATCAAGCTACGAAGCTGATTAAAGTGGGACCGAACTCCTGTAACTTAATAACAAACCAATTTTATTGAGACCACGAACCGACCTAAGTTGGATAATAGTTGTCTAACCAATCATGCTTTTAGTACAGTATTTCAATATTTATCAACTTTTCTACGTTAGAGATTACTTGTTATTGGGATTAGATGATTTCACATGGAAAGCTTATGGCGTCCCTCTCGAAATACTCACACGGCCACAGATGTACAGCTACTGTTAGAGAAGTCCTATGCTGTTCCTTCTCGTGGTGGGGGTATTGTTTAACAAAATTGAGGACGTAAAGCGACTGTCCGGAGCCTTAACCGGTTTGGTGGACACAGAGTCCACCTAGGGGAGTTGGAAAACCCTGATTTCAAACCAATGGTGCGCAAAGGCTCCAGGATGCTGAGAGAACAAATGGCGTATGAATCTATTGTTGGTCATTGGCTACCATGGGACTTCATTTGCTAACGTTGTTCCACTGCCTTGTGGACTAGACCTCTACGTCAAAGGCTCGGGGAGTTGCCTTCTAAGATAACCACCTGCTTCAGTTTAAGTGCCCAGGCAATATTCCAGCTATCATAAAAAGCGAATCATTTGTGTACGCACATCCGTTTGGTGCCTCCTTGTACTAATGTGTATATATTTAGAAGACTGCCGCTAGTTCTGGAGTACATGTTTAGACTCCGATCATGCTCTAATACGAGCACGCATTAGCTTGCATCTCACTGGACGCAGAAAAACTACATTAAGACCCATTATAGTTGAGCTCAGTGACGAGAAAGCCAATAGACAATGATATTTTTTCTTGGCTTGAAATTAGTATTGGATTCTGTAGACAAAGAGGTTCTGTGGCAGTGTCTGTCATTGAAAGGTGTACCTCAGAAGTACACCAACATTGTGAAGGCTCTTCACTCGAACACTACTAGTCGAGTAAGGGCTTATGGAGAACTGTTATCTGATTTTGCAACTTTAAGTGCTGTCCGGCAACACTGTCCACTATCTCCATTTCCGTTTAATTTCATCATAGACCTACTGATGGAAATAACGTCCTCGTCGATTGGATTTGCAGGAATTGATCTTCCAGGAGGTCCACTTATCGATTTAGAATGCGCAGATGACATAGTCTTGTTTGGTGAAGACGCTGATAAAATGCCGTCTTTTTGTAGCACTAAGCAACAATGCCAGGATGTTTGGGGTACGTTTCTCTCCCGCTAAATGCAAACCGTTGCTTCACGACTTACCTATGTCAACACCTGAAGTAGTCGAATGCGTCGACATCTGATCAGCCCCAATGGGTTGGTTTCTGACGAAATATCTGCACGGATTCAAAAAGCTCATCTGGTTTTTGCCAACTTATGTCATTTATGGAGAAGGCGAAGTATCCGACTATCAATAAAAGGACGGGTATACTGAGCAGCAGTTCGTTCTATTCTACTTTACGGTTGCGAAACGTGGTCATTAAGGATAGACAATACTCGTAAGTTACTAGTATTTGATCACAGATGTCTTATAAATATTGCCAGCATCTGCTGGGATCACCGGGTAAGTAATAATGAGGTTAGACGCAGGGTATTAGGGAATGATGGTAAATCAGTTAATGAGGTTGTGAATCTTCATCGACTGAGATGGTTAGACCACGCATGCCCAACCACCAACTACCGCGGCGCGCAATGCTGACTAGTGTTGAAGACGGTTGGAAGAAACTTTAGTCAGTCAATCAGTCAGTCAATAAAGTAGAACTTCGTACGTATGTACATCTGCTCGAGTTGCCATACCACATTAGCACACAGATACAATTGTCGATTCAAATCCCATAGTGGTAGACGTAGTAAGAGTATAAGCAGTAATCGGAAACATTAGGGTTTGAAGATGTTATTTAAGGAGTGTAATCTAGTAGAAGTTAGGGGCGGTCAAACCAAAACGTGGCATCAGTCATTGAAGTCACTAACTTCTGGTCTGAGCCATGTTGGTAGGTGCAAACTAATTGGTTACAGTCCGCGCGACTATCGTAACCAATGGTTGGAGACTCTGGATGACATGGCTCAGGAATGATTACAATGACGTTGGTGTTTGCAACGACTTCCCTAAAAATTGTGAGATTGAAATTACTTTATACCTTTCTTTTAATGGTAGTCTAGCCTAGAATGACTCGTGAATCCAACTTTAAAAATATGTAAAAAGGTGTTTGTCAAGATAATTTTTGACTAATTCTGGCCTGTACTAGGGAGACCTGATAAAATATTATTGGAATTGTCCCACTTTTACTTATCAGCACTTTTAAAAAATGGAAATTTTCAAAAGATTGATAGTGTTTCAGACTTAGAAGATGAAGTAAATACGCATATACCATATGATTAAGATTCAGTTTTGTTTGTCATTACGAGCTCTATATAGGAAGCGTAACCCTTTTCACACGTTTGGGCAGCCAGTGATTCCATGGACTGATATTACCTCATGGTTAGACCAGTCTCAGATTTTTCTGTTTGATGGCAATAAGACACTACACTAAATTTGAAAGAGTTATGAGTACAATAAAAAATATTATAGGCAAAAGCAACCTAAAAAACACATCACACAAAATAAGATATTTCTCTTGTTACTATTTTATGGGGACTTATTGTTATGAAACCTCATTCATCCAGGTCCACTCAATGTGGTTCCCCCTGAGGATAAATGGTTTAAATGGTTCAAATGGTTGTGGACGGAATAGAAGAAGCTTCCGCTTAACAGGCTTCCGTGTCTAGTAGCAGGGGATCACGAAATCTTCCAGGCAGGAACCTAGGTATGTTAACAGTAAAAGAGGAAGAGAAATTGGTAAATCATAATGTGATGCTGTCCTTGGTCAAGTTGCCTCTTGAAGGACTCCTGAGAAGTCGCTTGGACTAGCTCGGCCGGCAGCGAGTTCCAGCTTTTGACAACTCTTAATTAAAATTACACACAACGCTATTAAAACACCACTTGTAGACGGACAGTGTTTACCATTAACTGGTCATGAAGTAAGCTAGCTGGGAGAACTAAAAACATAAGCTCCACTGGTAAACATTTATACGGGCAAGCCATGTGACCAGAGCTAACCGAGTACTGATGTTATCTTTGAAGGCTGAAGATGAGCACTTTGACAATATGCTACGCTCTGATTGTTGTGTTATGGTGGTTAGCTCTTTAGGCTATAAAAGCCACACGGAATTTGTATTAAAATCTATGAGCTTTCAAAATGAGATAATGTAAGGACATAAGTATATGAAGCAATACTCCCCCAGAAGTAATTCACCGTAAGCAATCGATTGATCTGTAGAAATTAAGAAATCATGTTACGTCAAACTAATTATCACAGGTGTTCGATTATTTAATACATTTCTGTGAGGACTAAAACCTACCTCGTGGATGTACCGCAAAAACCGAAAGTGGTTGGGTAACTCTCTCAATGTCCAATGCTATCACGATCCGAATCAGTTGAAGAAATTTCTGTCTGGTACTTTTGCTTTGGTTCATCTCAAACAATACAGCACTGACGCAGAGAGGTAATTTGTATTACGAATCCAGATTTTGCTTTGCTGCAAGAGATCTATTGTATGTTTTATTGAGTGCTTCTTTGAAACTCGAACTGTCGCACCTTTTAGGTTGTACCTCTCATCCTTTGATTTTTGAACACTCGTGTAGCTGAATTAGACTGGGTGGTTCTTGCATGCTTGAAAAGCACTTCTCGACCATTTCAAGTGTTTGTTCATTTATTATTTCTGTTTCAAATTATCATCCAATTAGCCCTTAACAATACTAGTAGATAAGTGGATTATTTAGCCAATTCCAAGGAGTTTGAAATTACTACAAAGACACAAAATTAAAACTCTCAATAAAAACCGAAAAACTGTATGTGAAATGTTCAGTAAGTGAGGGCATATCAGGTGCGAACTTATCACTAAGCAATTTGAAAGCTGTAATCAAGTCACCTCTAGTTCTTCGATATGACAATAGGAATAGTTTTAGCTTGGCCAGTCGAGCACCATACGGGAGCTTCGCTATTCCGGTAATCAGCTTGGTTGCTGTTCTCTGAACCTCTTCCAAAAGCACACTTTTTTTAAGCAAGGGCTAGCCGCTTATATCCAGTACCCAAGTTTATGACTCACGAACACTGTGCGCAAGTTAAAAAAGGCTTTGGCGCCGACATGACTGAAACCCTACGTATTACCATAAAGTTCTAAAACCTTTCATGACTATTGCACAGCAGTGTGCAGAAGTCTTTATTCTTGGCTAACGATGACCCCTAAGTTATTGTGTATCTGGACAATAGATAGCTCATCTTACATGTATCTGTACCTTGATGACCAATATGCGTCACAATACACTGAAGTATTTATCGGCAGCTGCCAGGTTCAAGACCATTCAGATAATTTCTCCAGATCATTTTGGAGTTCTAAGCTATCACCCTTACATCGTATCGTTCTCCATATCTTGACATCGTCTGCATATAGCAAGACCGATGATGATAGGAGACAAGGAAGGTCACTTACATACAAGAGGAATAGCACTGGCCCCAAAACTGTACCCTGAGGCACTCCACTAATAAGCACAGTTTCCCAGTTAGACAACTTGGAATTCACCTGTACTCTTTGTTGGTGCCCAACTAGGAAGTCTTTTTATCCACACCAATAGATTGCATCCAACCCCGGCATTTCTTAACTTATATAACAGCTGGTTGTGTGGAACTTTGTCAAAAGCTTTGCTGAAGCCAATGTGGGCTACGTCTACAGGTAACTTTTGGTCCTTAAGAGCGCACCAGCTTTCATGAGCCACTAATAAGTTAGTGAGACAAAAATAACCTATTCTAAAACCATGCTGCTTCTCCGAAAGGATCCGATCCTCATCGAGGTACTTAAACAGCTCCTTTCAAACAATCTTTTCTAGGATTTTAACAACCACACTAGTCAGGTTAACGGGTCAGTAGTTCTCAGGTTTAGGTTTCGTAACTATTTTGAAGACAGGACTTACTATGGCGTTCATTCGATCGGTCGAAGTGTCATTATCTATTAACCGAGTATTTGAATATTAGTTTATTCTGAAGATATCTGAAGCTTATCTTAATAAACGGGAATGCTGGAACTGCTAGCTGTCACTGCACTGAACAAGAGCTTAATTGCAACCAGGTTTCAGGTTGTATGACCGGCATAAAACTGAAGAAAGTGGAAAAAGTGTTCAGCAGGGCTAAAGTTACTAGATATATCGAAATAGGGAAAATAGCTTGACATAAGCGTAAGAAAAGAACAGTAGCTGTAGTAAGACATTACTGACATCTGTCACTCCTCATGGAGCAAAGATTGAGATCAGCTTTCCTTTCCAAATGTTGCCAGGCACTATTCATTCTTTAGATGTCTGCCTTCAATTCCCGGCACACGTTTTTCGTCTGTCTATTTTCCTCCTACCTCGAGGATTCTAAGCTTGGATGTGCTTTTGGATTCACTTTGATAACCTGTCTCATCCACCTCTAGAGACTTTTCCTAATTTCCTTTTCAGCTAGAAGCTGACCTGTTCTTCAACACCCTATCAAATGTTTTCTCTTAATCAAGTAGGTTAGCATACATTGGTGAATTTCATTCGATTTGTCGTTCAACAGTGTTTCAAGATGTCATAATCCTTGTGGAGTCCGATCCGTTAATACCTAAGTTCGGAGTATACTCAATCATTCATACGATTCAACAACACTCTGCTGAACACTTTTTCTGGTAGTGATAGCGGTGTGACGCCTCTGTAGTTCTTACGCTTGATGAGATCATTCTTTGTTATATTGGTGTAGTATCCTTCGTTCCATTCTGTCGGTGGCACATGTTCTTCCTCCGAAATCTTCCTGGAAAGAACGTGAAGCATCTTCGTAATTACCTCTATGTCTGGCTTCAGTGCTTCAGTTAGTATGTTTTCATGCCTTACTGCCTTGCTACTCTTGATTTGTATGATGAACCACCATCCTAATTTCCTGGATCGTCGGTGGAGTGAAAGCTACAAGAGTGTCTGCATGTTCTACTTCGATTTGCGGTCGGCTTGGTGTGGCTAGTCTATTCAGGAGCTCATCAAAGCACTCTACCCACAAGTCTCGCTGCTCTTGATTCTCGGGAATCGGCTTACCTTCTTTGTTCTTCTCTGGTGGTTCTGGCTTACCTATTTTCCTTGATAGGTTTTTTGTTGAAGTATGTAGTGGTTTCACATTTCCCCCTCTCGTAGTTTTCTCTGTCCGGTGTGCCACCAGATTTATTGCCGTTCCTGAGCCCAGATGGAGGACAAGTGTCAAATTTGAGGTTAAAAACACTATCCCGTCGAAAACAACCTTGACAAAAAATGCCGACCTGAGAAGTCATTTAAATGACATAAACTTTACCGTAGGAGTTGTGACACACCATAGCGAAGTACTAGATTCTTCGGGAATCATGAGGCCTATGCCCCTTCTTACAGCCAGAACAGTAGTTGACATAAATAAATGGAATGTTCTCATAATGTGGGAGACCGGCAGGAAAACGCAAATAGCCATGGAGTGTGCTATACTATAGAAAGAGTGAATTTAAAGCGCGTAAATATGGTCTGAATACGACATTACCGGGCAATCATTATCTTTAAACTCCTTTGGAGTGGTGCCACGTACACAGATAGGCAAGGCGATGATAACACTTGGTGGAAACAGTACACTGAAATCTTGGGAGAGGTAGACGGACGTTAGAACTCCAAACTGAGTTAATATTAGCACAAAATTTGAGGGTGGTAAAACCTTTTGTAACGGAAAGAGGACGATGAAAATCCCTCTGCAGCTTCTTTGTTGAACAGTATTTTCATTTATTTGTTCCTTCTCCTTTTTGTGTATTCTAACCTTTGTTCCGATCTCGTTTAACCATAACTTTTGTTCCTCACTTCTTCCCCGACGAACTATCAACGGCCCGAAATAGTCTATCCCGATGGAGGAGAAGCAGAATCACCCCTGCTGCACTCGACACTCGGAAAGAGGTGCCATCATCTGTTGGCCCAAAGTGGCCTTCGCGCGTATACACCTACTGCATCTACCTATCATTCGTTTAACTGCACTGGTTCTTTTAACAATCCAATAATTTCGTCATATGGTAGCTAGCACTTGCAATGTCCAGGTATGACCTTCTAGGTGGTGGTAGTGTCTAATAATAAGTTCTGTTACGATGTGGTGACTGGGTAAAATTACCGGATGTCTGACTGTGAGTGGATAATTCGAGTAATTTAATCGTCCGCCGACACAAGGCAATCCGTCGATCAGGCGTAGGTGAAAGATTTTGTAGCTCTTTTATATCAGTTGCGCTTCCGCTATTGTATCGAGACACTTTTACTGCTTCCCCATGCACTTCCGTTTGTACTAAGGCTAATACCTTGTGTTTAGCTGCATCCAATTCATCAACTGTGAGATAGCCCACACTTAGGGACCTGTCATTGTGATGAGAGTACATGATGGTTATATAGGTCACATATCTTCTGAGTCATGCTAATGCTTTAATCAGCTTTATCCAATTTGAGTGATATAGCAGAATTGGACTTAAGCTATGTTTCAGCACAACTGCGTTGGTCGTGTGACATCTTTTAAATTCAACATTTTCCGGGGGATTTTCGCACATAAGCGTCAGTGTTTCTTCGAACTCCCTCATCCTTAAGAAGGAAGGACCCTCAATCCAGTTTTTTAAATCTAGCTCCTTCGTATACCTCGTGATGTCCAGTGAGTCTTGTCAAACAAATGAGGAAGGTTCCTATTTAAAACTTCCCCCATTCCAGCATTCAATACTGCCGCTGCTAGTTCCAGTCTAGGCACAGTTACCTGTTTTATAGGTGCCACTCTAGACTTACTATAGAGTAAAACGCTGTATGGTGCTTTGTGCTTAGGGATGTTCCACGAGTAAGCTACCGCACTGTAACCAGATTCGGAGGCGTCACAAAATAAATGCAGCTCAATCGCCTTAAAGTTCTTTCTGTTTTCATTTATAATGCTTCGAGGAACACTGATCGTTCCGAGTCTCAGCACAAACGTGACCCATTCGTTCCACGAGGACAGAACACTATCACTCGGAGGCTGGTCCCAACCGATACGCGTTTTACAAAGATTCTGTAAGAGTTGTTTAGCAGGAAGGTATATTGGAGCTATTAGGCCCAGAGGACCGAAAAGAGATGAAATGGTGGATAGTATTCCTCTCCTAGTCGGAGTTTTTTTCCTGGATCAAAGAGAAAATTAAAAACACCGTGTGTGGTGTCCCATTCAATCCCGAGGGCTCGATGTGTCGGCCCTTGATTCGCAGGCATATCAACAATCGCCTCCATACTATCAGATTTAGGAAAAACTTTCCTTACTATTTCTGAGTTAGTCACCCATTTTTTCAACTTGAAACCTCCTCGAGCCATCAATTCATTCAGTTGTACCACAAACCTTTTGGCATCTTC